GGGGGGTTCGAAAGAACCGCCCTTTTTGCTGGGAAAAGGTCCAAGTTGGATAAAATGTGATTTAGGTACAAGAAGGTTTTATGGTAAAAGGTACACTTTTTCAGAAAACGAACCCCCCATTTGAAATTGCTGGCCGCGGGCCTGATATATGTATTATCTCAGGCGTATGAAGTAGGATTTAACTAACATTGGCTTCATGGGAACAAGAGTAGGGTGACAGATTTAAAAAAAAAACCTTAATATGTCCCAAAAAACCTGACATGCTGTTTGAAAGCCGAAGTCCTTGTTCAAGCATATATTTCATAGTGCTGCTCTTTCACCCTAAACTTAGAAACTTGTGTATATTTGAGTCTGAAATTTGTGAAAACCTGGGACACTGTGTGTGTGTGTGAGGGGGGGGGGGGGGTAAACAGGTGTGGAAGCCATAAGTGTAATATGTAAGTGTTATTAATTAAAATTCATTTATTATAATTGATAACGATTATTATATTATTTAAACTTGCTTTGTAGATTTTGATAAAAAGGCAAGCAGGGCTTCCAATGTCCTCATCTTGTTTTGTTATAAACATGCTTGATCTTATCTTTCTTGTCATTTGGTCATCATCAGTCCTCATCACTGTCTTCACGACCAATATTTCCCACAGGTCAGTCTACAAGATGTCTGCCGCAGATCCTCCCTGTGCGCCGTGATTCCAGTTCTGTGCCTGAGAAGGAAATCCGTGGCAACTCTAGATTGGTAGACCTTACCCCCCACAGGACTTTCAACTTTGACACGCACGCTTTGATAAAGCATCTGGAATCATCTGGTTTGTCTGTTAAGATATTTCTGATAATTCAAGAGCTATTCACTAAAAGATATATTACACAATTTAGCTTCCAATGGGGATTTTTTAGCAAATTTATTCTAAAAAATTTGAAAGTTCTGGTTTTCTATTAAAAACCACCAGTTGTAAATATTGAATTTGCTTATTGCTATGTAATAGTTCTCAATAATTTTCAGTGGTAATATTGTCAAAGAAAGCTGTTAAATTGGACTCAGTGTTGCTGTTTCCAGAGAATACTAGTTTTAATTTGTACTTTTGTAATATTTGCTTCCCTGCAGGTTTTACCAGTCAGCAAGCGGANGTCTACTTGTAGTCTACTTAATGTTTACTTAAATTGGTAGACAAATTGGAAGCACAAATATTGTTACAGATAATTCTTATACTTTTTCAATATAATCTTGGATCAGAAAACTCTGTTAAGTCACATGAATTAAAAAAATTAAGTCTATCATTCATACGTGGCAAGTTAATTTTCAATGATATTTAAGCTTTAAAACATTTATGCATTACTAGTAGGTTTAAATAGTAGTATCACAGGTGCTACATGTATGTAGCTTGATTTATTTTCTTTCAAGCTCACCAGATATTGTTTTCTGACATGAAATATATAATTAAATTTTGGTTTATACTAATATCAAGACAACTGCTGGAGAGAGAAAATTTTATTACAAACTACCTTATCAGCATTTATAAGCAGGGGTGATGGAAATATGCATGGGGGTAACATCCTCAGAAGTGGGGGCATTTTTATTTTTTGCAGGAAGTTTATCATAAAAGAAAATTATGTGCCATGTACATACTATACATATGTGTTCGATACTAAGGAGTAAGAGTACATATGCAAGAATAACCTTATGATCCCCAGGGTGTGGGTTGTTCCTGAGTTTGAATGATTGTTTTTTTTCACAATGACAATTTGCTACTTATACTATTAATTTTGTACTAATACTCATATGTAAGACAACTATTCTGCCAAGAGTTTTAGTCTTGTTGATTAATAAAACCTAAGAAACGTGTATTTTCTAGCATTTACCGTCAAAAAATCCTTCATTTTGCTTAATTCACATGCACATAACTCTGCTTAGGAAAATGCTAGAACCAAAATTTAAACTTTAGGTTAATGCCCAACTTCTATACTTAATGTGTGCCAAATTTCAAATGTCTGTGACAATATTAAGGGGATGAAAAATGATGGGGGCAACTTTTGTCTCATTTTTGAAAATGGCGCCTGAAAAAAAGAACAAACATGGTGTTACTAAAACTTGAATAACTTTTGATCTAAATGAGATAGATTAAAAATTTAAATTGATTATTCATACTCAAATGTGTGGCTATATGTGCACCAAATTTCAAGTCTCTAGCTCACTTAGAAAAATATCATGTGTGCACCCTACTGCTGGCTACGTAAATGTTGGAAAGAATCTGTATAACACCCTGAGTGTCACATTAAATTGTCTTCTATGACACCTGATGTAATATATATATAGCTTAGTTAAAGCGTACGTGGCTCTACAAGACGTTTCGCCTAAAACTGACTCAGCACATAAGGACAAACGTAAACATTGCGCGACTTCCGGAAACAAGACGAGGCTTTGATCAGTGCAGTATGGGGAAGTTTTTCAAATAGTTTTAACGCTTTCTGCCAAAACATATATATTATTATGATTACTCTTTCATTCGTAACAGAGGATTCTATGAAATGACTTTACATTATCCCAGGGATTCCGAAGCAAAAGAGATTCCATACGGACTCGATTTCGATTTTCTCTTTAACTTTCCTGTAATAACAGCATTTTTCCACAAGGAGACTGAATATCGCGCACGGAATTGTGGGTTGTTTTCGTCTGCAAACGGATGAAGTATTAGGTGTTACATGTATCTTACATCATAAGTTTAAACGTTATTCTGTCGCTTAAATGACTGAAAATTTAATCGCGGGTATTTAGCCGTAGTGACATGCCCTTCTTATAATGGCAGAAGGGGGGACGCTGGCCTTGTTGCCACAAGATCAGGGAAATGCCGAAGAACAATCTGATGAGGTTTGAAATTGAAATTTCATTAGATCTAAGTTTGCCTTGTGATTAGTGTCACGCCAAGTCAGGCATTAAAAGTGCCATTATAGATATGACAGTACTGTGGTACTGTTTTTAACCTTACTCTGAATGCATTAGTACTATGTCAACATACTTATTTATCTTCAGAATTGCACAGGTACCTGTAGCAACTACAGTACATGTACGAAGTACTACAGTACATGTACTGAGTAGTAGTCATGTACGTCAAAAATCTAAGGCAGTGTACCCAGTACATGTACGGGGTTGCTAACATGTTAAACCACAGTGGCCAAAGGATGTACGTAGACCCACTAGTATTTGGTAAAACTTTAACATGATAACCATTGGGAACAATACGAAAGGCTTGTATCATGTCCAATAATGGCATGTGCAGCTGAAGTTATCCTGTACATATACATGTATAAACAACTGGACCCAGTTTCATCAACTATGGATAACACTATTCTTTGGTTATAATTGTTATCCTCTGGAAATTTATCCTGAGGAAAGCAGCATTTTTTAACCACTGGAATTCGGAAAGCAATATCAGAAACAAAAAAAGTATCTGGTGTTTGGTAAACATTTCTTTACTCACAGGATAATTGCCCAGAAGATAACAATGCATAATTGGACCAAATATATTAATTTTTAAAACACAAAGAGTAGTGCAAATTGACAAATGTATCTCTTAACCTCATTTTCAGGTACTGGCTTTAGATTCTATATTTGATGGCACTGGCAGATTTCTTGTTGTGGATGGTCCACTTCAGGATGGAGACAGGAAGAAAAGCCAGGAATATGTTCTTCAGGTACAAATAAAGTGTATCATAGCCTTTTGAGACAGAGCTAATTTTTTCATGAAGCTGCTTTTTTATCATCATGTACAGTGTTCCATAATACTGTCTGTATTGGCTTGCAATTGATCTCAGACTATCCTTCCTTACATCCCTGCTTAAGTGTACATGTGTATATTATAGTATACAGTATATGCATACTGGTACAGGGTTCCTCTTTTTTAGCCAAATCACAACAATCTTACTACATTTACTACCCTGTAGAGCCACCTGCTCCCTAGCCTAAGTCTTCCTTTTCTTCCACTTTCTTCTGACAGTAAGTACAGGCAGTTGTAGAAAAACCTATAATTGATATAATCAGTGAATTTGTTAATACTGGCACATGCCGGCTTACTGTATTGGGATTTATGCTAGACAATACTGTTTTTCTGTGATTTGAGATCTGAAATATTTTGTAATATTTAAATTGAAATGCTAGGCCTTTTGCACAACAATATATGTATCATGCAATGTTTGTTCATGTTCATTTACCCCAATATCTGTTTTTCTGTGTAGCTGTGTTTGAATATATAAGTACATGTACCTCTGTTTTCTTGAAGATACTTGTTCAAGTGAAGCTCCCAAATGAGGAAATCTCTGTAGAAGCCTGGGTTCCAGATGATCATGATATAACAGCCACTTATCAAGCCATGGCTGAGATGCCACCAAGCAACAGGCCAAAGTTTGAGAGATCTTGTTCAGGTGGGGCTAAGCCATCTAAATATCATAATGTCACTTCCTACAACAGATTTTGATAAATAAACCAGTAAGTCATGTAGGACTAAATTATAAGTGAGTTCAGTATGAATAAAATCATTTCATGGTACATGGACATTTGTGGCATTGATTTAACTTTAACAAAGCATATTTTGGCATAAAAAGGTAATACTATAGCATTGCCAAAGTATTTCATATTCTTTTCCATTATTGTAATTATTATTGTGTCAGGGAGAAGATGGCTGACTGCCTTAAAGATGAAGCACCTGACCCCTATGTGTCTCCAGCTGACCTTACCCAACAGTTACCCATCCCAAGAAGCCCCCTCCTTCAGCCTGTCCTGCCTGTGGCTGACTGCCACCCAGCTGGGGGCACTGTGCCAGCAGATGGACAAGTTGTGGGAAGAAATGCATGGGATGCCCATCATTTATACATGGGTGGATTGGCTGGAAAACAATGCTCTCAAGTAATCTTAATTTTTCACTTGAAAATAGTAGTACGTATATTATGAAAAAGTTATGTTGCTGGAGTTATGGTGTGTGAGTTATGTTATTGACAAAAAACATTGTCTATGGAGGAACACATGGTTTTCATGAATGCCATTTTTCATTAAATATGATGAGAACTGAAGTGAAAGTTGTTTTACAATTGTTGTTCTTATAACAAATTAGAATTTAATTGATAACGAGAAAAGAATGAAAAACATGTACCCAGTAATATACATTTTGTTTCTTCAATTACTTTTGAATGTTGTCTTTTATTTCAGTTTCCTAGGTATAACTGATACAATAATTATTAGTCCTCCCATAGATTTTGGGCCAGATCAAAGTATTATAGACCAACGTGCTATCCCTGAATGCAGTGACTTGGAATCTGACATTTTGACAATGCTCAGGTAAGGGCCCAAATGGTATCAGGACAGCCCAGCCTCCCCTGGATCTATAGCATATAAGAATTTTAGGTGACTCTTAGGTCTGTTTAAGTGCATAAGTGAACCCAAATCTTGTAATAAATAGCCAATACTTTCGTTTTTTTTTTTTTTTTTTTTTTTTTTTTTTTTTTTTTTTTTTAATTCAAAAGCAGTGTACTGAGGTAGTATTTTCTCTCCTGGGAAGGGGTGTGTGTCTTGTTGGGGGGGGGGGGATTGTCCTAGAATTGGCTCAAATACTGGAAAAATTGCAGCATGTTATGTATTGTGGTTACAGTATATGTTGATTTATGAGGAACAGGGGTATTGATACTTTTATTTCAACACTGCAGACTCTTAATAGATTGAAGCTCTAGATGAAAATTGCAGTGTAAGAATAAGAATTTTGTTACTCCTTCTAAAATGCTTTTATTTATCTCTATCAGATATAGTGCAGCCCAAGAACTAGAGGAGTTTCATAAGAGCCAGCAGGAATGTGAAATTTGTTTTGAGGAGAAACAAGGATTTGATTTCTTCCGCCTGTCTGATTGTAAGCATCACTTCTGTAGAGAGTGCATGACAGGGTTTTGCCAGATGCATGTGAAAGAAGGCACTGTACAGCAGCTCAGGTAGAAAATGCTCAGGATTGGTACTTTTCTTCTTGAATTAAAATTATGTCTTCTTTGGTTTACAAATAGTACACTCAAAGAAAAATTGAAGAGCAACCAGTTTACCTCCATGTAATATGTGTAGGTTAAGTACATTGCTTAATTCAAATATCATAGAAAGGACTTGTTTGCTACATATTTAGAATTCATGGTAAAATTTGATACCTACATGCATATTGCAGGTGTCCTAATAATGAGTGCAAAGAAACATTACCACCATTTATAGTAAGGGAAGTGCTTGGAGAAGAAGAATATATAAGATGGGAAAGACTCCTGCTACAGGTAAACTATTGGTAACTTATTTATATTGGTTGATGAAAAAGGAGCAATACGTTGTGGATTTTACCTATTCATATATGAAAAAAGATCTAAATTAATAATAATAATAATAATATTTATTTCTTTTATAGCGCATTCCATTTTTTACATTTCAATGCACTTTACAAATAATTAAAAAGTCTAAAAATAACAATACTAAAATACTCTAACATTTACTGATAAAATTAATTAATTAAAGAAAGCAAAGAAAATTTATTGATATAACTTTAAAATACTACTAAAATTAACCCAATTATTACTTACGTTTTAAATTAAACATCTTTTTCACGTATGTCACAAATAATTCCATGTGCATCATTACACAATAGTGATTTGTCACACATGCTGTGCATTTGGTTGTGATGTGCATCACATCTTAATGGTTTCATACAAGATAGGTCATAATATTTCCAGAGAGCATTGGAAACTCTTGGTGATGTGGACTGGTGTCCAAGGTGCAACAGCCCTGCCACACGAGAAGAAAATTTTGCTCACTGCACATACTGCACATACAGTTTCTGTACACAATGCAGGGAACCCTCTCACAAGGTGATATTCCAGTACCTTGTTCACTAAACATTCAGCATGTATTGTATACAATGAATGGAACCCCCCCTCGCCTTGGCCTTTCCATATCTAAAAATTTGAACTACTTTGTTAGTTATCAACATGGTGACATATGAAGATGAATTAAAAATAAGTTGCCGTATTATGTTTCATATACTTAATATAAATACACACAAATAGGAAAGAAATTAATATCCTGGCAAGTCTTATTTATATGAATCAGTTCTGTTAACCTTTCTTGACTAATGTTTAGGAGTGCTGCATGATTATTGTGTACTTAATTGTAGGGCAGTAGATGTTCAAGTATAGAGGAAAAAATTCAGAAACTGGAATCAGAAATGAGAGCTGTTGGCATTGATGAAAATGTACAGTGTTCTCAAAGAAGGAAGCGGGAATTAATCAAAGAATTGCTTCTGTCCAAAGAACAAATTGATAATGAATGCAAGAGATGTCCAAAATGTCAGGCCCCAATATATAAGTTTAGTGGGTAAGTATATCTTCATTCAGTTTGAGTTCTGAATGTGAGGTTGTGCAGTTACAGGTACAGAATTATGTTTGTGTATTTACAGAGTTATGTTCATTCATTATACATTCTTGCATTGGTATGGTCAGTGAAAATTGGTAAAATGTTGGATCTTCTGTCTCTCTGTCTGTCCAGTCCTCCCAGCCATGCATTTGTTGTGGACCAACATCCATCAGCAATGTCTATTGTCCCAATGACAGTAGTTTTTACTTGAAAAACTGTGCGAGTCAGTGGAATGATTTTAATCATTATTCTATCAGTTTCAATTGTTTAATTCACTTTCTGTTTTACACAAATTGGAATTTCATGTCTGTTTGTTTCTCTTTGGACATTAACCCCTGTCCCAGGGATAAGGTTCTTCAGACTAGCGACAGATTTCTGATTTTTTGGGTGGTCCCAGGTGTTGGTGCTTACAACAGTAATGACATATTTCTGATATCTGACAATCGGGGGGATTTCTAACTTTTTGGGAGCCAAAAAGTCTCATCCCTGCTGTCCCGTCTTCCTTAAAAAAAACAGATGTTTGACAAATGTATTTGCTTGACCATTTGAAATCGTGCAGCCTTGTTTGTTTTGTTTTTTTTTTTTTATTTCCAGGTGTAACAAAGTGGTGTGTACCAATTGTTCTACAATGATGTGCTTTTTGTGTGGCAAGAAAATTCAAGGATATGATCACTTCCAAGATGCCAAATGTGAGCTATTTGCTATGGAGCCACTTGTGATACACAGAAGACAACTACAACCACGCCCCCGACATGAAGTAATTTTTTTCCTCAATCAAATAACTTTTGATGGAATTTGCAGGTGTAGTTCCTTAATTTTATGTGCATTTTTAATGGACACCAACAGGCAATTTGAGTCTGGACATTTATGTTATTTATATTTTATTTTATTTTATTTATCTCTCTCTGTTTCATATACATATGTTGCACGTAGGTCAGAATTGTACACAATATTAATAAACATTTATCTATTCAAAGGGGGCAGTTCGTGTTGAAGCCCAGTTGGAGGAAGACCCAAATGCAAAGAATAACTTAATGAAGTGTTTGAACTGCAAGCAGCCAAACATAAGGCAAGATAAAAACAACCACATCAAGTGCTGGTGTTGCAAGATAAATATGTGCTTTATGTGTAAGAAGCGTTTTCAGGAAACTGTTACACAGCACTATACCTCAAGTAAACCATGCCAGCAGCACACTGATTGAATGAGGAGTACAACAGTTTTTTCATATAGAAAATCTTGTGAAAGCAAGGAGATTAAGTCCCTCGCCAGTAATCAAACTTAATGCAACATTTTATTTATCAACTTGAACAGAGTTCCTGTGTGCCATTAATACACTCACAAGTTGTAATTTTTCTGACCTCAATTTTTGTTTAGCCCAAGTGCTTTATTATAAAAATTAAAGCACTTTTATACCAGTAAAAATGAGGTTTTGTGATCTGTAAATACTAAGTGTGTGATATCATGTCATTCTGTGAAAATATAATAATATGTTTTTATCAATAAAATTTTATTTCTGGCTACCATGTTACCTCTTGCAGCCCCTTTTTTGGGATATTTGTAAGTAAACAAGTTAAATTTTGTACATTTATACCCCTATTGAACAATTATTTTACTTAAAAACATCACTGTTATACATGTATGTATGGTGCCAAGCGTGAGGCGTAACCGGTACCATACAGATAACCTCTTGCAGTCCTCTTTTTTTTTTTTTTGGGGGGGGGGGCACATTTGTAAATGAGCAAGTTAAATTTATTCACGAGAAGTCATTCTCACAAGTCGTTATTTCCCACAAAATTGGCTAAAAAGCAGTAACCACACTACCGGTAGTTATCATTCATCCCCAGAGCGTATGAAAGAATAACTGGATATGAACACATTATAAATCGGATAACCGGCACCAAATATCATATATAGTTCCTTAGCAAAATGGTTCGTTACTCTGCAGTCTCGAAAAAGTTTGGTGACTTCGAAATATGTTAATGCGACTCAACACGTTCGTCACACTTAGATTTTGGCTCGTTTTTGCGTTCAAACAAAAGGTGTCCTTAAACCGCGAGAGGACGAAATATTTCCCTTGTAACAAATTGCCCTTTTAATGGTTTTGCGAACTGTTAAACAAACGCGTTTTAATTGTAGGCAGACTACAACACGTTTAATAAGCAACGTAACTAGGTTTAACTACATTGTAATATACAGATTTTGTATCGTAGTTATAATCAAGGCCCCAACATGCTAAGTCAATCAAGGAGTGAATTCATAAGCAGACATAATATTTCAGTTTAAGGGCGCATTCCCATAGATTTTAGATCGATCTATCCCCGTGGGGAGTCTCACTAGATTACTGTCAGATAATCCGGCTTAAATGTCCGTCCCGTCTACTACAAGCTGTAAGGGGGTAATTAACTTTCGTGCCCGCTCGGCTGACAGCAATTTAGCGTGAACCCCCAGGGAGTTAGGTCGATCTAGTTGGATCGATCTAATCTCTGGGATTGGGGTCTAAACTAAATGTATGTACCGCGCCGGAATATCTGAAGCAGGATGTATCACTGACAAGTTGTTTTTCTAAATATATATTGATATATGATCATTGACTATTTGTATTTCAAATCATTAAACGGAATGTACTAGTAATATGTTCCTGTTATCTTTGAAAATGAAATCACAGAATATTAATTAAGACTAGGAACGTAACAAGTATTAGGCTACTTCGACCACAACATATTGTGACTGCCTTATTTTCCCCTTTTCTGTGTTGTATACTGCCAGGTTGCCAATGACATTTTTTAAAGAACACTGAGCATTGTATTATCCCACCCAAAGAAAACCAACATTATATTTTACAGACTTCATTCACAGTGGTATAAAGGAAGTCAATGAACTGTAAACAGGCTAACATCTATAATTTGTTGATTGACCTGATGTCAAATGCGTCTGAATGGCAATCTGTTTTGTCAATTGTTTCTTTAGAGTTTTTGACTACTAGTATGTAAACATAAACGTTTGCATGCATCATTATCGTTGTTTACTGTTTAGGTATTACACCTAGAACAAAACTTTCATTTAAAATGCTGCAAATGAATCGGAATGAATATAGATTAGGCCTTCGAGTTAACCTATGCGCGGTACATTGTCTACATGCTTTTTGTTAGGATTTGTTAGCGTTTCTAACCCGTATAATTGGCCACGTGACATCATAAATTTGTTTACGTGTCCGAGGGTCCTTTTTACTTGGCTTTGTTAAAATTCTGATTAAAACAGAGCTGAGGCACCAAACAACAAACAGGTGGGGAGTGTGGATATGGACACTACAGAATGTTTCAGTTTGCATCAACAATTTTAATTGCTTAAAAGCTCAGTAATGTAAAGTTCTCGTTACTACACCGTAGCGGTATTAGTACAGCACTGGCTTTACCGGTACATGTAGCTGTCATAACTGGGTTAAATGCGTTAAAAGTGCACTTCATTAAGTGTCCCGGCGGAGGTTCACTTCGACCATATTTCGGTTCTTAAACTACAGCTAAGTGTTCTGAGGTGTTGACAGTGTTCCCTTTTCACCGTTCAGTTTGTTCCAGTTTGCATTATCTAGCTCACTCTTAGATCAGCTACATTTTTGTTGATTATGGTCCGCGCTGCTTAAATTATTTTACGGATGGTCTTCGTAATAGATTAATTTCATTCCACGTAGCTGATGTATTGCAATATTCTTGACTGCTGTCTATTGACGTTCCGTACAACGTACAACAGTGGTGCAAATGTACATGCAGCAAATATTTCTGGTTGCAATTGGTATTGATTATATGTCGATATAACTTTACAGCTTGCGTTACCGGCATCCCAGCTAACGCTTTGGAAAAGTTAGTGCTTAAATCTTTTTACCGACGCAAAAACTTTTTTGATAATGTTATAAATATGTTATCGATAATACGGTTAAAAGAAACACTTACATAATTTTTTACATGTAATGTTATGGCTCTAAACATGGTCAAGATACTGCTATTATATACTCCATTAGTTAACATCAATAGTATTTTTTATGTTATATATATTTATATAAACTCTGCATAAATAGTTTATTGGTTTTCATATAAAATAATTGCGTTTAAAAATATCCCTATGATGTTTTAGAAAAAAAAACATTAAAAAGCTAATAATAATTAATTGAAAACGTTTTCAAGGCGTGTGTTAGCTGGGGTCGTAGATCAAAATTACATATTTAAAGGTAAATCACTTAGCCGTTTAGGACTGGACCTTAAGTGAGGTACTAGTAACTGCTACCTCCTCTGTTATGTGGCAGGGATCATACCCATGACCAGTATGCTATTGAAATGTCAATTTTTCTTTGTATTTCAGATTTTCTTTCGTATGTGCTGTAGGCTATAGTTTATTGGGCGTGATCTACAAAATAACCAGTAGACACCACGAATCATTCCCATCATCCTTACTACCTTGAGACAGCACATCGCGATATACAACGTCAAAAAAAGAAATAAAAAAAACGACTTTGAAGAACAAATACATCTCTCTCGGGACAATACGTGAAAGGTCCAGGGCTAGAGACTGCTATCGTTAATGTGGTTATTAAACAAAGAGGCAAGGTGAAGTGCTTGACATTACAGAAACTATCGAGACTAACATAGAGTAATAAGACACAAGTAAAACGAACGACTCCAACATGAGTGGATTAATAATAGAAAATAACAGCACGACTCGTACATATAATCAAGAATTGCAGAACATACATGATCGCTTTTCCAATTATGTCCAGATGGTCCGAAGTATCCGTGATCAAAGCTCCCAAGTGGAGTCAACTGCCTTTCTGACCTCAGTGCAGGTGTTGGAGAAGGAGGTGGTCAAACTCAAGAATATGTATGAATACGAACTGGAAAAACTCAGGTAACAACATATCAGTCGATGCACAGATGTACTTGTTAATGTTCCGGGCACACTGAGTCATTGGTTGCACCTGTTGTGTCTGTCCTTTTTTGCCACTGTAACTTGAAGTTACATATAGAGCGAGCGTAGACACCCAGTATATATGAAGTACTTTTACGTGTTTCTTATATGGCTAAAATAAAGTCGACATGCCTTTGATATTTCTCCAAGATGTACTGTTTGAAACTATATGGTGCCTTTCAGTTGTTTTTTGTGGCAAGATTTTGACCTTAAATGCATCTTTAAAATGAGAAACTTAATATTTTAAAACGTCTTGATCTTATACACCTATGCCCATCCGTGTCGTTACAGATGCTGAAACAGTTGTTAATGATTCTAGAGCAAACCCCATGGATAATCCCCTCCCTCCGACAATCTCTCCCCGAGACAAACCCCTTCACAGAAAAGAAAATAGGCTGCTTCTGAATTATCTGTTTGAGGCATTTATACATTTCTTGAATATTTTACTAATGTAAAAAAGAAGACAGAAAATGACATTGAAATTAGCTATTTTAATAAATTTACAAATTCGGGAAGCTTACTTATGCGCTTAGTGGTGACCTTAAACTATTACGTGCAATAGATGCAATTTTTGCAAATTTGCCATAACATGACATTTTAAATCAAACAGATACTATCATTTCATCAAAAGGATACCTGGACGAGTAAGATTATTTCCTTTACACCTGTACCTTGAGATACGTTTTTTTAAAGGCAGACATTTATAATTTTTCTCAACATCACATTTTTTTTTCAGAGTATGGTATTCATAACAGGAGGGGGGCTGTCCGAGAGGAGGTTATCCCGGGGGTGGGGTGGGGGTGGGCTCTTGATACCGCCAGATATATGATATTTGCCAAGTTGTATTTTGTTTTACGTTAAATAAAGAAGTTTCCTTTGTCAAAAAGCTGTGTTAGAAAATCCTATTTACTAAAGTTATTAATATTTATTTATTATTTTGCATAATATTTGCTAGATTCACAGCATAACTGTCATACCGTGTTTTGTTTTACTTAATATCACTTGATTTTTTCCCTTTTGCAAAAAGGAAGGTAGAATTAGAAAATTATCTTTGTCAAATCATTTTATTGGATTTTTTGTGACGTTCACCACATAAATGTCAAACTATTTTTTTACTCGAAATTTGCTAGTAGGTTTGGATAATCAGCATAATTAATAGGTAAATGTTCACAAAATTTATTGGTGGAAATTGTTCGGAATCTAGAGTACCACCAAGCTGAAAGTAGCTGATAAAATGAACTTTTCCGATATTTCATCGTATATATGCCAAACAAAGATGTGATTTAAGTCATATGTTTTCCATTCTTTAACAGGAGACGCCTGGATGATGTGAACCATGAAAAGAGCCATTATCAGGCACAGATCGTGAAAACCGAGAATCTAGTTTCACAGCTTCAGAACCAGCTTCACCAGGAGACAGACAAGAGCAACGGCTTGTTTGACCAGTTGAATGTTCTGCACAGGACCATAGCACAAAAAGAGCATGACTTTCAGAGAACTTTGGAGCAATTACAGATGGACTACACGAATGTTCTCAGGGAAAACCAGGACTTAAAAAAGAGGTTTGGCATTGACTTGGCACATGGATTCGTTTGTATGTGGTTTAGATAGTAAATTTAAGGCATTTTAAATAGAGGGCTGTAAGCATCAGATATACTTGGGCACAATCCTACAACTTGCCTCTTCTTCTTCTTCTTCTTCCTCTTTTTTTTTTTTTTTTGTCTAGTGATACATCTACATCCAAAAAAGGGCCTTGTTTTTTTTACTAAGTGAATTAAATTTGGGCAAATTTTGCGAAATTGGAAAAGTCAAAGAAATAAAACTCGTCAGATTATGAATCATTTTAGTTTAAACTCGAACTAAGGTACAAAACTAAAACAGAAAATTTAAATTATTGTTTTTCTTTTTATCAAGAGCTTATAAAATATGCAGGTTTTACCTCCAATATTTCTGTGACTGTCAGTCACCATCATCAGGGAGTAAATGACTAGGGTCATTTCACCTGGAATGAAAATCCAGGTCAATTGCCCCTAATCACTGGCCTTGTGTTGTAACTGTAACACCTTCCTCCTGGGGCTCCTCTGCATCCCTCTGAAGCACCGTGAGATAGATAGCTGGTAAATCATAACCCCCCTGTCTGTTCAGGTCTGGTTGTTTGGTCCTGATGTGTACAGCTTCTGCTATTTTTTCTTTGGAATGTCCAGTTTTCCCTGTCTATTACTTTCAGGCTGTCAAAATCAATGTGGTGACCTGGATGTTTGCAGGTATGTTCTCCAAGGGCTGATTTCCAGTTGTTTTTGGCCACTGAGTCTTTGTGTTCTTTCATTCTTGTGGCTAATGGTCTTCCTGTCTCGCCAATGTATTCTCCTTGGCAGGTTCCACATTTGACCGAGTAAATCACACCACATTGCTCCCCTTGGGTGAGAGGATCCTTGGGTTTTATTAGTGCTTGTCTCAGCGTCCAACCTGGCTTATGATGGAGTTTGATGTTATATTTCTTGTAAATCCGAGAAAGTTTTTCTGACAGACCTTTGCAGTATGGTAATACTATGCTTTGCTTTTCATCCCCAGTGGGGCCCATTGCATCCTTTCCTTTGTCATGTCTGTTCTTGCCTCTTTTTTCCCCTTGTTTTAGTGCCCATTTTGGATATCCACATGCTAACAGGTCTTTTTCAATCTTCTTCCTTTCTATTTCTTTGTCCTCTGTATCGGATATCACGGTCTCACACCGGTGGAAAAGTGAAGCTGGTACACTAAGTTTTTGAGAGGTTGGATGGTGAGACGACCACTGTAAGTAGTGATCCGTGTTCGTGGCTTTCCTGTACACTGTAGTTTTTATCCGTTCTTTGTCTTTGGTCATCTTAACATCTAGCATTGGCAGGGAACCTTCTCCATCTTCTTCTTCTATTGTGAAGTGTATGGAGGTAAAACCTGCATATTTTATAAGCAAGCTCTTGATAAAAAGAAAAACAATAATTTAAATTGATACATACAGAGCTAATGAAACTCTTCTCTCTAAAACAGAAAAATTCAAATAGAACGTTTTGACTATGATTATGATCGTTTGAAATTAATTTTTAAACAAGAATTTTGGTAACTATTTTGCAGCTTATGTGCACAAACGTTGATTTTGACTTTTGAAAAAAATTGGGTGAAATTATTCTACGTTTTAGGGCGGGTTTGTTTCAAAGTTTCCAATTTCTCACATGTGTTTAGTACTTTTCTTAATCCTTCCCAATGATAAGAGTTTTTGCCAGAAAAAAGGCTGTGCTATAGCATTTTCACATTTTTGCAGATTTTGAATCTTTCATGATATTTCATTCTGCCATTTCTCAATCAGATTTCCATATTAGTTATTATAATTGATCGTGACAGCATTAAAGGCATTGGCTAAAACATACCGAATTCATTTTTCACAGTTCCACAAAAATAATATTACAAATGTTCCTAAAATCTGCAGACGTCTACTGGAGAAATAAATTTCTTGATGACACCAAATGGACATGCCTCTCACACTCCTGTAACATTTATACAAGACGGTTTTCCATGAACCTTGTCGCTTTTAGATTAAGTCGATGACTTTATACAATTTAAGAATAATAGTTAAATAAGTAAATACTTGATGAATCAATTAAGAGACGTGTCAAACGACATGTGTATAAACACCGGTAGCCACTACATGAAACGTGAAATGCACAAGGAAATGAGCCGTATGTGTAGATATTTCAGGTAATGTCCCAAACACGTTGTATACCTTCTAAATGATATTAAGATCAGAAAAAAATTACCAATGCCATATTTTTTTCCATTTTCAACAGATGTGAACAAGAGACAATCAACAGACAGGAGGTAGAGCACAGGAACCGCACGCTTCAAAATAAAATGGATTTTCAACAACATGTGTCAGCTCAGGAGATGAAAGATATCAGGGTGAGGCTGGACAGCTCTGCTAACACTATTCTTCACCTGGAATCTAAGGTGAAAGAGACAGTAATGACGAACAACAATCTTGTGGAAATGTTACAGAGAGTGAGGGAGACAGCACAGGCCGAGTTAGACAGATATAAAATCGAATCGGAAGAGAACTTCAGCAGAAGTGTAAGTACATAAATATTATATCTAATTATTCTTAGATTAAAAATTAGATCAAAACCTTTCCTTGTTGTTTGTTAGAGTTTTAGTAAATTATTTCAAGGCAAATTCTCAAAGTTATTTGACTTTAATGAATAATTCCTAGAATGCTATTATTTCCCTCTATCAGGCTTCTGCCTTAAAGGCACACGTGGAAATTGATCGTCGAAATTTAGAGGCCATGTCTGCTGAAAATACGAAATTGCGCAGTGAAGTGGATTTGCTGGCAGTCAAGATAAGAACTCTCAGAGAACAGGTAGTGCAGAACTGGTTGCTTTTCTTTGTAGTTATGTTTAACTTAAAAGTGTGCAGTACTGGACATTTTGCGACAAAACGGATTCAAATAGCTCATTGCCTCTAGACGATAGTTTCATGGCCCTTAAGATTGTAACCAACGGGTTCGTCCAAATGATGAGACCACGTTTGATACTTAGATATGGTACCTCACATTCATGTTTGCCAGTTGCAATAGATCGACAAGCTAACCAGTTTTCATGTCGCATCCAGCTAGTCAACTCTGACAAACTTTGGAACTCATTTTCTAGCCGATGTCCAGCAGTGATAGAATCACTGTGTAACAATCACTTATGCATAGTTACTTGGATACAAAACCTACCACACGCTGTCGTACTGACAAACCAGTTGTTTTTATTTCTCATCTACTATGGTACACGACTGTATGGAACGTTTGCTTAAGTTTTCAGTTTAATTCAACAGTTTAAGTTTTAAAATCGGTTAGATCTAAAATAATCCTTTGCAAATTACCAAAAGCAATCATTAGATTTTAAAGTCGTTTTTGTCAAATCAAAATTACAGATGGCATCTTTAGAAACTGAGAAAAAGAACATGGGGGAGATTTTGGAGCAAGAGCGCCAGCGTTCTGCACATCACGTTCAAAGATTGGAGATGAAGCTGCAGGAGGTAAATGACTTTCTTTTCCAAAAGATGAAGGAGGTTAATGCTGCTAAAGACGCACAGATCCCACTTAAAGCTGAAATAGAGACATTCAAGACTCTGCTAGAAGAAGAGGAGAGAAGGTAAACATTCCTGTTTTGTCATAATACAAATGTTGGTTTTAGATATATCTTTTTCTGCAAGACGTTGTCATCAAAGAATGCACAGAATATAAATTCATTAAGATCATGATTATCTTTCAGATTAAAACTACAAATGAATATGGAAAACAGCAAAATAACTCTGCCTCCAGTGATTTCCACTGCCCCTATCTCAAGAGATCTGAAAGCTCCCCAACTCATCTACACTCCCCATCCTCCCAACAACACCAGCAGGCAGCGTATTACCACCAATGCCACCTCTTCACAGATGGTGAAAGCCAGTGGAGACCTTTGGGTTTCGCCAGAGATGAAAGCCACTGGTGTTACTGAAGGAGGCAGCAACAATGCACAAATTGCCCCAAAAACGGGGAATAAAAAATCGAAGAAAGTTTCTACAACGCATACTGATGTCGAGTGCACGAGATGCCGTAAATGCCGTGCTCCCCTGCAGAAGTTTGATGGGTGATTTGTCATTTAATTTTATTTTTTATTCAGTTCATTAGCTTGTGAAATGGTTTGTAAAAGGAATGTAAATTGGTAAAATCAACATACTTTTGTCTGACATTTTAATTTTATTACATTCATAATATCTGTTCATCATCTATTTATTTTCAATTATTTTCAGAGGTAGCAAAGTTGTGTGTAGCAACTGTTTTACGTGTGTGCACTACATGTGCGGCAAGGCTCTTGGTGGAAACGATCACTTTGAAAACCTCGAGGGTAGCCAAGCAGAATTATAAACAACCAACATAGCTTATATATTTGTAAAAAGGCTATAATGAAATGTCTAACCAGTTAATATTGTGTGTAAAAACTTGTGACATTCAAAGTAGATACATGAAGAGCGAGAGAAATAGCGCCAGTATACGATAATGCATTCAGTCTGCGCTCACGGAATCAACTGTCTGGAACACCTTAGCTCCGTGTGGGCAACTAGAATAAGGGACAAAAAAGGTTATAAAAATACCCTAATTTAAGGATAACAACACTTCATTTTGGCGGGAAAATATTTCTTGGGGTAAACCACAATTTCCCCTTGTTTACCAATGGATAAAGAATCCGTTCCAACATTCAAAGTTGGCCGATTTTTTTAAATTAAACTTTTAACAAATTATTATTATTTTAAAATTTATTTTATTTTATTTATTTATTAATATTAATATTAATATTAATATTTATTTTATTTATTATTTTAAAATTTATTTTTTTAAATTAAACTTTTAACAAATTATTACGGAGGGTAGCAATCTATGAAGGTCCACGTGGTCCAATGGCAAGCACAGATTCTAGAATAATTGCGATAAACGCCGTTTTGGTGGTAAAATGATATTTATTATATTTGTTTACAATGTATTTATTGTGGAATTTTGAATTTCATGTGAAGAGTTGTTATATCGTTGACTTGATTGATTTGCTTTTCTTCAGATGTAGGCCTACATGTAATAATTCTGTTTTAATATAAGTGATTTTTTAACGTCAGTAATAATCTTGGGATTTTACCCTTTACGTAAAAACAGATAGGCCTATAGAAGAGGTTAGTTCAAGTGTATAGGCCTATATGACGCTTTTCAAATAAAATAAAATAAAATAAATGAGGTCCCACCCTCATGTTTCGTACGTTGTTTGAACTGCGTTACAATTTTATTGGACATTTTTGTCGATTCTTGTAGTTTTATTATCACGCACTTGGATTACTTTTTAATTAGCAAGTGATAATCTGTTTGGAAAGTGTTTCTTATCTTTGATAGGGTCTACATGTATAACATCTACACTCCTCTTTTCACACTGAATTATAACCAAAAGAGCATGGCTTGTTTGACGAAACGTGTTGAAGTGAGGATGGCTTTTAATTTAAGCAAGGAGTTTCAACAGTTTCTGTTGTAACTCCTTGATTTAAGAGGACACAAAATTGTTTGTCTCATGTGTGTGCTTTATTTCCTTTACTCTGAATAAATGTATGTTCAATTTGTGAAGAGTATTGTATTGTTTATTTTTGGGGAAAAGGAAATGCTTTCCTGGCGTCAATTGCTGATTTTGAAATTCATTGCAGTCAGTATAGGTGGTAGTTTATATCCAGGTATTCTCGCCCTTCATCATCGTAAAAAAGTTCGGCAACTTTACCGCTGCCGCCAGAGGGCAGTGTTTTCCCCTGGAGTATTTTCTATTTGCTATAATTCCATCAGAATAAAAACACCCAATGTTTTTGAAGAATCTGTTTCATATGTTGTACACTAATACCAATGTAAGTTTTATAAATTAGTTCAACCTGTTACCATCAAAAGGTGTGTTCCTCTGTTGGGTAAAAAGTTGCCAACGCACCTGCTCACATGTTGCCTAACTATGAGATGCGAGGTGTGTGACCTCTTGTGTAAACACACTCGACCGCCTGAGCTTGGCAACAAACAACAAACTTCGGGAGAGCGTGGATATAGACACTACACAATGTTTCGGTGTATAATAACAAATTAGCATTGTTTCTTCAGATTTTGTAAAAGAAAGGGAATTTTGTCTGGAAACGGATAGAATACCGAAAATTTAAAAGAAGTCCAACCTAGAGCTAAGGGACAAGGATATTTAAAGTAAGTGAAGAGAAGATAAAATTTCAAGCACATTTCGCCGGCTATATTAGACTATATATAATGTCATGGTATATGGCATTAGCACTGTAGTTTAGGCAAATAGTGGCAAATAATTGACTTGTTTTCTATGTATTTGTAAGAAGTACACGGTAAAAAGAGAAAAAATTACCCTATATTTTGAAGTCTGTAGAGATGGTGCCACATGACAAGAACAGAAATTCAGTTTGAATTAATGTATATTTTGATACCTGGTGCAGTTTAACATACAGTATTTCAGTATGTGACACAACATAATTTAGTGTGTAGAAGATTAGCTTCACTCATCATTCATATAATACATTGAATTACTGCCTCATACCTTTCCTGTCTTAGTGTGTGTTTTTAGCAATTGAATTGTGTAAAATAAGAATTCAGACTTACCATATAGCAGGTGCTATATCAGGAATATTATACATATTAAATCATGGTTACATGCTTAGTTAAAATGCTGCTAGGTTTCCACAAACATTTAAAGATTCTCTGCACCAAACCCAAATTAGTGGTACATTGTGATAGCACCACAAGTGATAAGTAGGCTAATTGACAATGCATAATAACAATACACAGGACAATGAAATGTAAATCAACAAAATGTTAGCAGTGTCATTAAAAAAAAACTAGACTTGAATATTGGACAATATGTAAAGTTTTGTTTGGAGGTAACAGAAATTCCACCACTGCAATCACTGATTGCCATTAAGCATGGATCAGTCAGCTATACGAGTAAGCAGAACAATTTATATCAGTTATTTTGACACTTTTATTTTTGGTGAATGAAAAGGCCTAATGTCCAACTTTTAGCACATTGTACTAGTACAAAATGAACCTGATAAGATATAAAACAGCATATTTCTACCTCAGGATCTATCAAAATTAATTAATCTATAAATTCTTAAGTTCTTTCAAGAAAATATAAGAACTTTCTAAGCAATCCTTACTACTTGCAGGTGTCCTTAATTTAATAATCAGAATATCCTAGCCTTTTTAAAGTAAGTTGTTTTTTATCACATTTAAGTGCCGAAGCTCTTTTGATATTGCCAAGAATCAGTGTGGTGTGATTATTTTAAGGTGACATATTTTAAAACTAGGATCCAAAATAAGATCCTAGTTTAAAAGAAAAACTATTATTCATTTGTGCGACTGTGCTAAAATAATGAAAAAGCCTTTGGAATTTTGCACTGGGAAATGATAACCAAAAAGAAACCTTAAGCCAGACTGGCAGTATTATTTTCACAACATGAATATCATGATTTAGGATAAATTGTATAAAGTTCTTCTACCAGGTATAATTTGAACTAAGTCCCATCTATCCCTCAAATGAAATGTAAACTCAGTTTTGAGTCATATATATATATATATATATATATATATATATATATATATATATATATCAAAGGAGAACATGTTTGTCTCATTCCCATTAAGTAAATCTGAAATGCTTCCATTCCATCTCAGCTATATATTGACACTATTGATGAATTTACATATTTGCATTATTGAACAGTGTAGATTTCCAATAAGAAAAATATATTTCACAACTTTGAACAAAAATCGATAAAAAATTTGTTTTGTAAAGTCCTGATAAATTAAACACATTTCAAAGTAGAATAGCTAACACAAACAGTATTAACAGTTGATAAAACACACCAAATCAGATTCTCTGCTTTCTAATTGACTAAGTAACCCCACCTCACCCCACCCTATGGAAACACACCTTCTTTCACTAAATGCCCTTAAAGAACCAAAGATTTCATGGAAGATCAGTTTTTATGCCCTTCCCCCCCCCCCTCTTCTTGATACGGTACTTTCATACTGCTGATAAGGTTTATCAGCATTAAAAAACAGTTTTGTTACAGTACTTACATGACACTGGCATCTCCAGGCAAATAAAAAAAATGCTAATCATTAAAAGAATGTTTGTAAAGGGACTTGGGGTAAAACTTGATAAGATTTAGAAAGAAAAGATTACGTATGCAGTTATGAAAAAGGGAAACACACATACACACATCCTCCCTTACCTTTATTTCAGTGAATTCATTGACACAGCCACATGCTTGTGTTAGTTTCCATAATGAGATGAAATGTCTTATCAATAATGTATTGGGCAGCTCATTCTCTAGGCTTGTTAGGGTCATGAGGTGACTTGAGAGGAGTTTGATGTGTGTGCTTAGTCAGGTGATATTAGCTGTCTTGGAGGTAGAGGCTTATATTAAGCCAGTCCAGGTACCAGATAACAGGTGTGCTTAGTATCATTCACCAAGAGTACATCCTTGCAGCTGGTTGAGACTGCTCAGTGAACACTGTTAACACTGGCATAAGTTCTCAAGACAACCAACTTTTGTTTTCTTTAAATGTGTGTTTGTAGCTAATTAAGACATGTCTCTAAGATGGCTGATCAACAGACAAAGAAAGTAAGGTAGGACTTTGTTTCCTTTATTGTTTATTATTATTTATTTATTTATTGGCTGATAAATAGATAAATAAATTTATTTATGTTTTTTAATGATCAGTAGGTAGAATTGAACTTTTTGTGACTGTACAGAAAAAGAATTTTCATCATAAAAAAAAAATTATCACTAATGTAAAGACTTGAAAAAATTTTCAGATTCTAGTGTTTGTGATAAAGATCTAGTTTCTCCATTTTTGTGATTAATGATAACACACTTGCTAATATTTTGTTCTATACAAAATGTGTTTTTAAAAGATTTCAGTGGCCTCACTCATTTTAAACTGATGTTCTGCAAAAGTCCTGTTTGTTTGCTGTATCTAAGGCACAGATAATATCTATGGGGAGTCTATATAACTTGTAGTATTACAGGTCAAAGCTTTAATTTTGGAAGTAGATCAATAAAGCATTTTAGGATTGTAACTTATGTGTGCTGCAGACAAATAATCTTATCTTTGTAGTGGCTTTTTTTGCATATATGAGTTGTTGGGGTATTAAGTTCCTCCTTGGCTTGTAGTCTGAAGTTTTGTTGATCTGCAATTTCAGATTTTCTCCCAGGTGTGCTGATGATGCGTCCAATGATAGAGACAGTGTCGTACCTCTGAAATCTATTTTGCGTGATCAACAGAAATCAAGCAGAAACTACAAGCCATTGCCATCACATTCACAACTGCCAGAGAAAAAGAAACAGATAGCAAAACTTATAGCTCATAAAAAAGAAAAGAGATTAACTTCAGAGGACAAGGACAGAACAGAACCTGAAAATCAGGAGCTAGAAACTGAACATATTAATTCAGAAAGCAGCAAAGACAAAGTTAAAAAACAGTCATTCAGAGGGACCACTAGTTCATCCATTGATAGATCTGGCAACAGTAAATCTTCCTCAGGTACAAGTACTGACTCCAAGATGAGTGGGTTTATAATGGACTTCAATACCATGTCTCGCATGCATGAGAAACAAGAACTGCAGAACATAAATGATCGCTTTTCCAATTATGTCCAGATGGTCCGAAGTATCCGTGATCAAAGCTCCCAAGTGGAGTCAACTGCCTTTCTGTCTTCAGTACAGGTGCTGGAAGAAGAGGTCACCAAACTCAAGCATATGTATGAACATGAACTGGAAAAGCTCAGGTATTATCCTTTTTTTCAGTGGAAAAAGTGTATATTTTGGATTTTTGTTTAGTTTCTAGTATTAAACTGTGCTTTGTAGTAATTCAGTGTAGCTACTATTCCAGAATCTCCCCATATCATCATGCAATATAATGGGAAATCAATAGTGGTTTCACCAGCTAACTTGATTATGCATTCATGATCAATAATTTGATGAGTATAAATGAACATGCAGGAAGCATCTAAAAAACAATTTCTAAAAAAAAAAAACAATTGTAAGCTTTTGCATACACACGTAGTCATATACAGAGGCTTAATCTTTTAACTGAAAGCCTGCAAATTCACTTTTGTAGTCTTCAGAATTGGACTGCAGGATTTAAAGTGTTATTCTTTGAAACCTTCCTAATGTAATAATCATCTAAAGGAAGAAATGAATTAGTAAATTTTCTTTTCAATTTTTTCATGAATAAAACTGTTTTCAAGAAGAATTTGACAAATACATTAACCTGCACACCTGTGTCAGATGATAATGATAAATTAATAAATTAATAAAATTGAACATTTTCTTTCTTATCATAGGAGACACCTGGATGATGTGAACCATGAGAAGAGCCACTTCCAGGTGCAGAGTGTTAAGAATGAGAGTGTAGCTTCACAGCTTCAGGACCAGCTTCACCAGGAGACAGACAAGAACAAGAGCATGTTTGACCAGATGAATGTTCTGCACAGGACCATAGCGCAAAAAGAGCATGAGCTCCATGAGGCCAAGATGGCCCTACAAAGACCTTTGGGAGACCTGGAGCAATTACAGAGGGACTATATGAATGTACTCAGAGAAAACCAGGATTTAAAAAGAAGGTAAGGCATTGTCTATATTGGTATTTTTACGTTGGACCCATCATACACATGTAAATATACATGCATAGTATATATGGTATATAAATACTAATTGCTTGAAATAGTAAACTCAATCATCTATTTCTTAATCATATTTTATTGTATTTTGCCAATATATTTTAATTTCCTTTAAGATATGAGAGGGAGACAATCAACAGACAGGAGGCAGAAGAGAAGATTCACACACTTCAGAGTAAAATGGATTTTCAACAACAGGTGTCAGCTCAGGAGATGGAGGATATCAGGATGAGGCTGGAGAGCTCTGCTAACACTATTCTTCATCTTGAATCTAAGGTGAGAGAGACAGGAAAGACGGACAACAATCTTGTGGAAATGTTACAGAAAGTGAGAGAGACAGCACAGGCTGAGTTAGACAGATACAAGATGGAGTCTGAAGAGAACTTTAGCAGAAGTGTAAGTACATAAAACTTTTCTATCAGACAATTGTATTTACTGTAAGATTATTACCATACTGTTTGAAATTAACTGAATACTATTGTTTTATTTACATGTACATGTTCTCACTGTTCTGCATGGTTTCTGAATTTAAACTGGTAGCTGCATGGCAAAGTTTTTTTTAATCTGTTTTGATGGCAAATAAAATTTAAGAGTTACATGTTATTTCAGCATTAAATATACATTGTCTTTGTTTCAGATTACTGCCTTGAAGGCACAAATGGACATTGACAGCCGAAACACAGAGACCATCTCAGCGGAAAACAGGAGAATGCACAGTGAAGTGGATGAGCTGACTTCCAAGATTAGAAATCTTAGAGGACAGGTAATTTGACAGATTTTTTTTTATGGAATTGACCTACAGATAAAAAAAAAGAAATTTTATGGAATGATCAGATGAAAAAAAATATATCCTAGTAACGCTTAAGAGTAATGTGCATGGGAAAAATTCCATAGTAAGTACCTGGTACACTCACTGCTGTATGTGTAGGAGGTTTAGTGGTTCTTGAACTACACCAATTATAACGATGAGTATTTTGTGTACACCAGGTAAATTGCATTCTTTATCTTTCAGCTCTGTTATATTAATATAAATAAGCTTTTATTTTAATAATCTTCTTATGTTTTGTAACATTTATGTAAATATTCAAATCTTCAAGAAAGTCCCAAAACATCCATACTTAAAATGTTTTTTAAATTTACTCCAATTTGTGCATTAAAAAAATTTGCCTCCCCAAATGTAATCCTATTTGTCAAATCAAAATTGCAGATAGAAACATTGGAAACTCAAAAGAAGAACTTAGAGGATGTTTTGGATCAAGAGCGCCATCGTTCTGCAGACCACATCCAAAGATTGGAGAAAAAGCTGCGGGAGCTAAATGACCTCCTCTTTCAAAAGATGAGGGAGGCCAATGCTGCCAAAGATGCACAGGTTCCATTAAAAGCAGAAATAGAGGCATTCAAGACTCTGTTAGAAGAAGAGGAGAAAAGGTAAACACTTATTTTATGTGTAGGAAAGAATATTGGACATTTTCATTAGATATCTTGCATTCAGAAATTAAAACTACATCTCCAGTCAAGGAGGTTAATCATGTAATTTTTAACTTCAGGTTAAGACTCCCGCTTAGAATGACATCCAGTAGGACAGTTCTGCCTCCAGTAATTCCTCCTCCTTCTATTCCCACACCTCCTGCCCCTATCCCCACCCCTCCTGTCCCTAGTTACACCCCTCCCGTTTATAGTCAAACCCCTCCTCCTCCTCTTATCCATTCCCCTCGTCCTCCCAGTGCCACCAGCAGGCAGTTCATTACCACCAGCACCGACTTTGATGCCTCCTCAACACAGATCTTGAAAACCAGTGGAGACTTCAGGACAAGTACTACCCAAGTTAAACAGCCCAGCCCACCTCCCTCCCCCAATGTTCAGAGAGTGGACTTAGACCTCACAGAGCCAGGGGAGGAACTGCTGGATACTTGCACCACCCCTGCAGTATTTGATTCCAGCAACCCAGTCACATCCATGCCAGAGACCTATGTGCCAGAGATGTCCATCCCAGCACCACCAGTTATGCCAGAAGGCACCATGCCCATGCCCATACTGGGGCCTGTTGAGGGGCCAGTGAGTTCATCTGCAAGAGTTCAGTCAGCACCTGGTAAGTAAACATTCTGATCATGTGTTTTTTTTTTCTAGAATTTTTTTTTTGACCAATTAAACATTAAGTGTTTTGAGTTATGAATTTCAGTTTATATATTAATTGAAAAACATGTCAAGAAAATGAATAAACACAATTGCATCAAAAAGGAGATATTAAATTGTTATCTTCCAATTAAAAGTATTCTTTCTCCTAGTCATTGCATTGGCAATATTGGTATAATATTTCAAAATATTAGTGAAAAATTATATGTCTGGTGATTTATTTTAAATAAACAAATTCATATTTTTAATCCACAACCAATTTAAGTGAAAAAAAATTGCTTGTCCAGATGTCATACATTTAAAAAAATATTTTTATTATTATGTAACTCGGAGAAACAGGTTATGTGTAACTTTTGCTAAAGGTCATAATATATTTCCATTGTTGAAATTCCATTGTGTTGGGGAACACATGGGTTCTAAGGGAAAATATTGTCTGGAATAACAAAAACCTAAATGTTTTCAAACTCATTGCAAAGTTAGATGGTATTGTGTGAATGGAATTGGCCCCATGAGATTTCTCCTTTCAGCGTGTAAAATATGAGCTTAAAGTATCCACCCTAAATAGAAAGTAATCCATGAAACCAAAGCATTTGTTTATAGTTAGCCCCATTTGATTCATAAACAGCTGCTTTATTACTTGAGTAATCATACAGTGTTAATGCTGGTATTGTTATAGGAAATCATAGCGAACTAAAGGTAAGCATTATGTATTACCCATGTCTCTGGCCATGCAGCCAATATATTTACAGCCGGAATATGTACAGTCAAATATTGCTATTATGAATACATGGTGTGGGTCCAGGAGGGTTGAAAGGTATGTCTAAAAGGCATACACCAAGCAAAAGTTGATATTTGGATCAATTGTATTGAATGTCAACACAGGCCTTGGATACCAGTATATCAGAACAATACAAATATAAAGATCGCTTGTACAAAGAGAGGAAAGAATGGTCTGTTCTCTGTGTTAAAGACTTGCTCTTTATCAAAACTGAATATAATAATGAAATTTCAAGGTAGAAGATGTTATTCAGCATATGGTAAGTCATACACTAGCAACCAGTTGCAGGATAGATACATACAAGCCAGACAGGGTGTAGCTTGAACATTCCGTGTGCTGAATATATTAGGATAAGGGTATGGTTTTCAGAATTTTATGAAAAAGCTGAGATTTCACTGAGAGTGAAATATCATTGTACTTAAATATAAAAGTGAGAAACCTGGATAGGTTGCTTTTGAATAGGCAGTTCTTGATATTTCCTTTTGTTCATATTGGTGAAAAAGCCCAACGCTTTATTCAGTTTTATTCCAGATACCCCGGTAATTGTTTTTAGATTTAATCTAAGTTTGAATTAATATATGTATATATTTACATGTATTTTTCTTTTTAAAATTTTTTTCAGCTGGGACAAGGTCCCGTGTCCATGTCGTCCCTACATACCTTGGCCAGGGGAAGGATTATTTTGATGAAATGTTTAATGACTTAAAGAGGACCACATTACAAACCCGCCCCAGAAGCAGCCCAGCAGAGCGTCCACCATACAGTTCAACATTCTATGACTACACCACTTCCTCATGCAGTGCTACAGGGCCACTGAAGATTCTGGAGGTGAACCAGGAGGGCAAATATGTGCGAATTGTCAACACTTCAGACTCAATGGTGAGGGACTATCCAGGGTTACTGATGAAAGAGTAACTCATTGTGTTTTGAAGCTTTGCATTAATTTTAATTTTAAACTGCCATTCCACTTCTTTTCAAGTTTCTAGGCATCAAATATTTTGAGCAGAAATTAATCTAAATGCCAATCCACTATAACTTGAGAGAGTTGGGATTACTATTTAAATGAGGTAAACACTTTGGTTTCAGGATGAAGAAATAGGTGGCTACATGATACAGCAGAATGTTGGTGGACACCCTGTAGCAGTGTACAGATTCCCTCCTCGCACTCGACACAAGGCAAGCTCCACATGCACAGTTTACGCAGGTTGTAATGACCCCATCCTCCACCAGCCACCACAGGCATTTGTCTGGAAGGAACAGGAAAGGTGGGGCTCGGGCCCAGAATGTACTACCATACTGTGTAAACCTAATGGGCAGGTAAGCAGAAAATTTGGGGGTCAGAATAAAGTTGTTGACAGACTCTCATACAGGTGTTTGTTGCTTGTATTTTTTTAATTTTTTATTCTTTAATTTTTAACAGACCTCAGTATTTTCTGCCAATTTTATTTTTTATTTGTTTTGACTGAAACATGATCAGTCCATACAGTTTTGTTATTTAGGTAGAAATATTGTTATATGACAGTGAAGTATATATATTGCTGAAATAAATTGTTATTAAAGCTGGTGTCTTCTCTCCTTAAGGCCATTGCATGGACCACTGCTGCCCACAGGTTCTCTAAGAATGCCTATGATGATGTTCAGCCAGGCAATGGAGAATATGCAGGTATTTACAGAGTTCCCAATTTCCATTGAGAATTACTGTTATTATTTTTTTAATCTTACACATCACAGGTTTGTATTGAATTAAAGACCTAGCCCTTTTTGTCTTGTTTATATAAAATTTTGATCAAAGAATATAAATTGTTTAACAAAAGTATGAAATAATATCTTTTATAATATTTTAGATTCAGAAGTAGGAAAACCAGCTAATGAACTGACAGATCTGGGCTACAATGTGAATGCAGAGAAGCCAGAGCCTGTCTTTCTAAGGAGGTATGGACAGTCTTCCAATCAGTCTTTTTTCTTTTATCCTTTTTAACTACATGTACATGTAGTTAAATCAATTTTTAAAAAAATAATGATGCTACATGTTGTACTGTTCAATTTTAATATTTTGGCTGTGTTGTTAACATTTGGTAACTACATGTGGACAAAATACAATTATTTGCATACATTTCCTCCTCAGAGAGAAGACTTCTCCCCCATTATTGCCCGCTCAGAAGCACCCCCATGGTGATTACACCTTGAACCACACCCATCCCCACCATTGCCAGCCCAGACAGCTCACTTATGGCAATGATAACAGCTCTGTGGACAGGCAGTCCAGATCTCAGTCAGCAAGACCTGACCCAATTCCTGGTAAATATTTACATCATGCAACATTCTACAAATATTTTTCTGAATTAGAATTTTTTAATTTTTTATTCCAATAATTTTACATATATATTTATAAACCTAAGTTTTGCATTAATATGGGTTACATGTCTAATTTTCTTTTGTTTTAAAGGTCAACCATATGCTGGTGCATCAGCTCGTAGAATGGGAAGTGCCCCTTTGAGGCGCTACACTCCGCCAAACAGTGCAACAATCAGGGGTAGTGGAGGAGTAGCCAACAAAGCAGTAAGTTTTATTTTGTTGTCTTTGGTGACAATTATTCCCATTGCATGACAATACATTTGCCATTTAATGATTTTTGAATTTCAGTTGTTAGTCAAGTGATATTTGATGTAGCCATTACTTTTTGAACTCTAGGTTGTTCAACGATGCTGACCCTTGTGTATGTTGTATGTATAAAAAAACAAAGCTTTAGTTTCTAGAGTAGAGATGAAATTTGTGTCTCAAACTTACTAAAAAAGGAAACACAATTAGCAGTAACAATGCACAATTTCTGAGACACAATTTTCATCTTTTTAATAAATAAAACTGAATTGCACAAACAACCAGTGCCTCACTGTATGCAGTTCTTTCATACTTATTTTTTTGGCAGTTAAATTCTGAAAATCATAACAAACTTTTCACAAATGGATCTGTTGACACATTAATCCTGAATTAGACACTTCCACAAAGTACAACAAATAGAATACAGATGAGAGTATTGAGAACCCATGTGAAGACAAAACCATTGTTGTTACAACTCTGATTCACTCACAAGTGGTACCCTCTATTTTAGGCAGGCACCATTAGGTTTGGTCCCCCATCACCTTTCCTCTCTCCACTGCAGCAAGAGTTCACTCAGGCCTACCACAATAGAGAAACTGCACTCCACTACGCTTAATAGAGGTGTGGCCCTTGCACAGTTAACACTTATCAAATGTCAACATAATAGTCTCTAAACAAAGAAGTTATGAAAACTATGGAATATTCTGTGCAAATCCAGTTATAAAAACTGTGTTGAGAACTTGTGAGAAATTTTAAAACAGCTGGCATTTACATGGTCACTTCATGTTTTTGGTAGCTCACTACAATTTCGTGTTTGTCATTAATTATTGCTATTTCTCTCTCAGTCATAAACCGGCACACTTCACCTTTTATCACTGCACAACTATTTCTTCTTGAGTGTAGCATAAAATTCAGGATTGACACATTTGCAATTCTTTTCTCTCTGGTAAAAATAAGTTTTTAATGGATTTAATAATTTGGTTTTTCAGTGCATTGTACATGAAAAACAGGTCATCCTGATAGTTATAATTATACTTGAAGGAAATGTATAGTCTGCTCTTATTCACAAATAAAGCACTCTGGTGAACTGTTGCAGTGGTGAAAGAAAGGTTGTGGGCCAAACACAAGTATATTACTGAAAGGATAATATTAATTTGGTAAAAAGGCAAATATTTTGGTTAATTCTAGATTGCCTATCTGTTCCAGATCACATTAACCCCTGGAGTCACCAGTCACCCACCAAGTCCATTCCAGACGTCACACAAACGCTTTAATACAGGACTGCAGCAAATACAATCTCAGCACGACTTGGACCATAATCCACCAATGCCAAGGCCCCCACTCTTTTCAACTTGGTAGCCTTTTTGTTATCTTGTTATTCATGTGTGGGAAAAAGGCAGGTTGGCAACAGTTTAAGAGTCAAAACACACCTTTGGCTGTTTTGAATGCCATTCTAGCATCCATTAAATTTTACTATGTTGTCTTCTACAAGTTTAGTCAGTGAACTAAGATTGTACTGCTCTTTTATGAGCAAGGTGCCAATTGCTGAAACTATGGAAATATTTATCATTTATAAACTTTTTGTAAAGCAATTTTCATATATTCAGTAGGTGATTAATAATTTTTTTTAAAAAGTAGAAAAGAAGTTGACAGCGTTCAGTGACCTTAAAGGTTTACTGTTAAAGGAAGCTGAAAATTGCTATATAGATCTGATATCATCAAATGATTTCTGCAGCATTAGGAGAAAATTCATCACAAAATTACTTTTAATCATTCCCATTCCTATTGTCAAAAGTAGGGAATTTATTGATTGTCAGAATGCATATTTATGCTATTATACACAGTTTTTAACAAAATTGTACATTTTGTATGTATTGAATGCTTTTGACTGTGATAGAGCGTGTTTATACTAATAAATATCTACCATTCTTACCTGTTATCAGTCTTACCTCCACAGAAATCTTTTATGTTCAATATAGACATGATATATATTATATCTTTTGAAATTATGCAGCATAAAAGAGGTATATTTGTTCTAATATAAAACAAAATATTATCCCTGCCATTGCATTTGAAGATGATTTAAATTTGAAAAAATATAATAAGATACATTTCAAAACAGCATAATTTTACACATACAATATGTGAAGTAAAGTCGTCTATGTTGAAAGTGACACATTGTGTTAGTTGGGAATTAACTATTCCAGCTACAAGCTGTTTTTATATAAAAGTGAGTGGCACGTGCAAAAAAGTGAGTTGTGTGAGGGTACACCATGGAGCACTGCCTTGGGCGGTCCTAGTGAATAAGTTGATAGTATTGACAAATATCACTTAGATATCAAGCCCATTGGAAATAACGACAGTTTCACATATTGCCAGACGCGCAACCTCATTCAGTTGGGGCGATTCGGATGTACATGCAAAGGTTACAAATGTACCAGCTCGTATTTGTCATACACAGCCAACTCTCTGCATGTCTTACTAGACAAAGAATGCATTATGAAACATCACGATTTTCCCAAACGTGAGGTGTTTTCAAAACGGAATAAAAAAGCACATGCGATTAAATCTTACTGAGAGGAGGCTCGGATCCGTACCAAACCATGATTGTCATTTATACTTTTGGGAACATATCGCCATTTAAACATATTTGAACAAATTCTTTTTATCTTGCCCTTTAATTGATTTGACTCTAAGTATAAATGCAAGCTTGTGCCGCTCACCATGGAGCCTTAGAGGCTTTTGTAAAAGAAATTAAAAAAAAAAAAATAAACGCGGAAGCTGAATCACGTTTGTGGTTCCAAACAGCTAACAAAATTCTCAGTCATTTATGGAATCGCGCTACTTCCTACCTGTCAAATACTATACCTATGACAAAGTGAAACAGTTAAGGGTCTTTAATAGTTTGACCTTGTATATTTAGTTTATTGTATTATAATATGTTAATAATATATATATATACAGGTTATCGCGTACGGTTAATGTAGTCAACTGTTCATCCTTGCGTGGAAATATTTATCTCAGTGTGTGAAAGAAATGTGTACAAGATATACATATCTACGTTGATGTACCAAGTGAGACACAAATCGTATCCGCTTCACGAGTAGATAGTCAGGCCTGTCATTGTCCGAGTTCCTTTCACAGCAGATGACACCTGAGGTACAAATTCTTAGGCCTGTGTGTCAAGCCAAGCAACTGCACCCTATAATGCGTCGGTGTGTACATAAGACAGAAAGGGTGGATTTTAGAGAGAGATTCCTTTCATCGGGGTCAGAGATATGAGAAGTTACAGGTGCGTTTGTGACAGGGTAGTTACTAAGGCAGAAGAGGAAACACTCGCACCACTAGCATCAACCCCCAGAACTGACTGAAGATGAGACGGGCATTTCATACAGACACAGACGTGACTATACTTTTTAAGCAATGGAAGACCGTCTCTGTTACAGGTAACATTTGTTTCGTGTGTTAAGATGGTCGTTGAGAACGTATTTACACAACATGTAGATCGTTCTGCTGTGCAATGGCTTTGGACATCTTTGACATGCCTTCGTTGACGTGAGCACTTGCTGCCCCGGTTATTGTATACTTGAGTGTAAAGATGAAAGGATGGGCCCGATAGGAGGTCGTCAAATGTGTATATTTAATGCTTTCCTGAAATTAAGTTTTGTATTAAAAAAAAAAAATCGGTATCCTAAAGTCTCGGCTGTTGGTGGTTCTCCGTGACAAGGAGGTCGTGCGCGTGTAGTTTGCACAGGTGTAGCCTACGTGTTTAGGAATGTTAAGTAGCGTTTCCTAAACAAATATTACAATTTTTAACAATTTTTTATTTGTGGCATAGTGTAATGGGACGTAATTTAACTTTAGAAATTTATCATTAACGAGGAGACGTTTATGATTCAGGGAATACATTTACAGTGATACCCATAACATCACCTTTGTTGCTTGCTTTATCAAATGCGAATCTCGTCAATAATATGACCTGAAAACACCACATTATAAACATTTCAATCCTATTTAACTTAAAAAACAAAAACCCGAAATCACTCTTATTGACACACGCTGGTAATTAATAGATACCAATCCCTCTTATCTAAAGAGAACATCTTTAAATAAGTATGAAAGCAGCATTTACAATGAACTACTAGTAGGTGAAGTTGATATTGGGCATTAAGATTAAAGTATCAATGTAGTTCACGGGATGTTCTGCGCCAGTAATACTCCCTTTACAGTTTAACGTATGCAGCTCTCAAACTGACTATTAAGCAGTTGAATTATTAGGATGAACGGAAATTCCGTTCCTTATCACATCAATCTGATATTCCAGTGATATTCTGGACATTAGATAGCATCAGCACCGCTTTCAGCACCTCATCCTTATCTCACCGCGAACTAATTGCCTTTATACGGTTTTTATTCTAGAGTTACTGAGGTGAGAGTCATAATCGTTATTAAGTTGGAATTTCCAAAATTTCTCCATTTGTTTTCAGATGTTCTGGTCATAGCGATACTGATATTGATTGTGGCTCTTTTGAATGAAGGACTTTATGCATACCGCGGGGTTGTTACGTCAACACAGAGCAGCAAGCAAACCAGGTGAGACTGTCTCAACTAAAACAATCCGGTAGTAAGTAGATATCGGTTGTTCGTTCGTGCTGCAGGTTTACGTGCCTTTGGTGACCGCATTATGTTTTTATAAAATTGCTTTTTATTAAGTTGTTTTTAGAAATACCTAAATGACCATGATTTACCTATCCCAGGCGCTGCGTAAATGCCATATTTGTAAATAACGACCTCACTTACAATGCAAATGAAGGTCGAAATGGAGTAATATCCCATTTTACTGCTTAAAGGCCAGGGGGTGAGAGGTAATTTTCAGATATCAAGATGAGACTGGCATTGTGATTGATAATCATTTATATGTACCGTGTGTAAAACCTGGAAGCTTTGTATGTTGCAAAAAAGAAAAAAAGGCAGAAATTAGAAAAAAATTCGAAAAACGCGTATGGATGCAGCGCGTAGAATTATTGAATAAAGCTAAGTTAAATCTGGGTATACAGGGATAAGTGTCGAAGGCGCGATCATTATTCACTTCAAAGAGAGTTTTAAGTATTTCGCCCATTTACCTTTAACTTTGAAAAAATGATTTTTAAAATCTTGCCCGGCGAATATTATTAATTTGTTATTTTATACTATCTTCCAGGTATTCCTGGCTTTCTTGGGTTCATTTGCTGCACTCATTATGTCACATGCTACGTGTCACATTGTCCAACGTATTAATGCTAGCTCTAATGTCGTACAATCTCTGGATATTTATCGCTATCATTCTTGGCTCCGTTTTGGGGTACTATTTGTACGGATGGACCCTCATTGACATACGCCCCCCTCAAGACAGGGGCCAGGGATACAGACAAAGTTTAAATCTCCCTGACAGATTTGAAATTAGACAAACTCCATCACATGAGGAAGATATTAACTTCAGGGCCATTTCATTGGGTGAAAAAAACCATAACAAAATCGAAGAACGCCAAAGCATGTTGTCGTCAGCTTCGTCAATGGAACTTCCACAAAATAAAACGACACAATTATCCACGTTTCAGCATCAAGACACCAAGACTGTTAAAACTTCAAGTGAAAGTGGGAACAATGCATCAGATATGAATCAAAATACAAATGATTATGATGCCGAGGAGCTACAAGGCATGCTATCAAATAGTAACACAAATGAAAGCAATGTCTAATGAAAATAGTTCAGTGAGATTTTGCCAGGCTACACTTATTCTTTCTCATTTTTGAACAAGTGTCCCATTGTTAAAATGCAAATGAAGCAAAATTCATGCAACCCCCTCCGCAAATCTTATCTATATTTTGGAGAGAAAAAGGAATGCTGGGTGGTTGCCCTTCTTGTTATTAGACCTTTGATGTACGAATAATCAAACGGGCGCACGACGGAAAAAGGAAAGATGATTATAATATTAAAATAATCATGCGCCCATAATAAGAGGCATTCCTGTTTGCGTCTTTTTGAACATTCCAGCTGAATTAAAAACTTGAAGAGTGTCTCTATGTCTCTATTTTATAGCACTATACACTGTCTTAACAACGGCAAGAAAACGAGAAAATGTCAACTAGGGGATATCATCATTATAGTGGAAAATTAGTAGGAAACTAGCGCTACCGTCACGAAGACTTATTGCTTAGTGCCGAAGGTGAAAGAAATAAGAGAAAACCTCGAATATATAAGCCGATTGCACGGAGATGGAAGTTAGAAAAATTCTTGGGGTTTCAACTTCTTCTGCAATTCTTATGGAATTTTCCCAGGGCAGAGAGATCAGAAAAAAAACTGGAGAAAATTAAGAATACTGTTGAATATAAAAACGAACTGTACATCTAAAAGATGATGACGATGAAAATTACTTAAAAATAAGGAGATGTTGCTTAATCTTGCCCAACCGCTGTAGTAAAAGTTACTCTTACTAATTTCAGAGGTGCATCGTCACGTTTCTTACGAATAATAGGTACAGTACAAGATATATGATATAGAGTGAAACTATTTTTGTATGCAACTGTTTTACAATAAAGTAACATTAATCAAGCATGCTTGACACTTACACAATTCATTAAATAATTTCGACACATTTAAACAAGATCAGAAGATATGAAAACAGGGGCGGAGCTGGCTGAGGCTTGTCCTTGAGGTTAAAAGAATGTCTGACATGTTGATCCTGGTTAAATTACCGGTCATCACTCAGCGATGTCCTTCATAATTCACGTCAATTATGGTAAGTGCGCTTTTGAAAAGCACCAACATTATGCCTCACCATAATGTATCTCAGACTTTTCAAATAATTTTGAAATAATTGGCTGCTTTGAAAAACATCACACTGTAATCGGTCGGTTTGTATGCCATTTTCACCTAGAACTTACGTGTCAACGGGCATTTCATTCCTCCCATTTAGTTTTGTTTAACAGCCATGCCACCAATCCTGGCGCAGAGAATAAAATATAAATAAATATATAAATAAACGATAATGAGATCCGGGAGTTATGACCCTCGTTGCACAGTACCCTACTTTATGAGTTTTCGACAAGCGCACTGGTCCTCGACTTTGTCCTCCAGCGTCCCTGCAGGCGGGATATGGTATTGGAGCGAAGACGGAAGAAGTCCTCAGACGTAGGAGATAACCTGGTGTAGGAAGACTGGAGAAGGTACTCGTCCAGGGACGACGTGCTGTCCTTGGCGCTGGGAATCCTCTCCAACTCGCTTTTCCTGTCCTTTATGTGCTGAATTGTTAACTGGATCTTTAGAAACTGATTAGCGATGTCTTGGTCCTGCTGGCGAATTTTTGTCTGTCAAAGAACAACCAAATTATTTATCAAAAGATTACTCTTTCCCTCACAGGCTTGTGCGCTCGTTCAATAATAATAAATAATATACAAATTAAGCCAAAACCTTCCTTCTGTCACTAGCTATGAAACTTCTGACTCTTTCTTTGCTGTTGTAAACCACTGTTTCTTCTTAATTTCGATAAAAACGATATTGCCTCAGCAACGAATGGAAACAGAAAGATACTAAACGAAAAACGCACGTTCCAGGCGTGTGAAAGACACCGCGGCCGGAGTTTAAGAGAACACTGGAAACTCTTTACCTAAACCAACTTACGTATGAGTTAAGTTATAATCTGTTTCAATCAGGATGCAGATGAGCACATGCTGATCGACATAAATGACATAAAGCGATCGCAGTAATGCAACCATTACTTACTAATTCTTGCCTGAGCCATCTCAGAGCAACGTCGATGTCCTGGCTTTGGTTTGAGATGTCCACAACAACCCCTTCGTCATTCTGTTGATTATGGTAACTTTGGCAATAGTCTTTATGGTCTTTCTGAAATCTTACAGGCAATTCAATGAATTCGCACTCTTCAAATACATCATCATCACAAACAGAATCCTCGTCTAAGTCCAGTGATAGAGTCACCTTGGGTACTTCCATGGTTCAAAAGTTTCTACCCGATAGCAATCGCTATATTCCAGTTGAAAGAAATTGTCTGACAACCATGGATGGAATAGTTTGAGTTCGTTTGCTTAGATGATCGACCAATAGAAAAGCAAACACTCTTTTCCTCCTCTGGGGTGCTTTACACAGCTAAGCTTTGTTAAGCGTCCATGAAAGCGTGTCTGTGATGTATCATTTCTTTTTTATCCCTGAAAACAGTACAGCTGTCGAATTAAGAATTCCTCAGTTCGTCTGTGAGAGTTACCAGTATTCAACGAGAATGAGTCCATGTGCTAACACAGAAAACTGAAGCCATCCGAGTGCCTTACGTCACAAGTATGCGGCAAGATGATACCAACTGACGACAAAGCTACAAATCACAATGCTTTTCAATGTGAAATTACACGGTCTCCAGATCCTCGCGGCTACCTCTAATGGGATAATGCCCTACTGTACGTCTGGCGGGAGGGACGGTTGAGGTTAGACAGTGATAAACAACGACGACAACACGGATTTCCACGCTCAGATAAAGACAAAAACAAAACCATACACTTAAGTTTTTCCTTCCTATGGAATACATGTTTTTTTACTCATACGTCGCCAGATGTGGTTACATTTTTCCGCTACTGGTGACTGCTGCTGGGGTGATAAAACTGACAGGTATGAGGACTTAAATTGGTGTAATACGCTCTTCCCGACCACACAGGTCTGTCAGGTTTGTGGTGATTTCTCAGATTAGCCGTCAAATAGGTAATCTGAGAAACTGTAACTAGAAGTCTATTTTCACCTGTGCCCTCCACTAGATACCGCCTCTTAATATGTCTTAATCCAACTTACAAGCGCCCTGCATGAGTCCCGGTTTACGGGGTTTAAGCTTATCGTAGCGTTCCTGTAGTCTTGCCTTCAACCTTAATATGCGGGAGGCCATCACCATGCATCGCTACTGGTCTCTTCCAGTTTTAGACTTGCTCTTCCTTGTATTATTTTTTTACATTACTTTTTCACTATTCATTAATTTCTCTCCGGTATATCAGGAGAAGTCACTGCCAACCAAACAAAACTCTTCTCTCCATGCTATTTTCAATGTATGCCCGCTGCATGCCCCACTTAGCAAGAAGATCGAACTTGACCATAAAGCTTTATGGCTTACAAATGAAATGTTGTTAAGTTAATACACCCTTTCGTTATTCATGATTTACATTATGATATCTAGGCCTATATAGCATAGAGTAGATGGCATAAAGCATAAGCAGAGTTGCACCTGACCTTTTAGCTTTTCACAAATAAATCAACAGCAAGCTGGGTGTTAACGGCACTTTCCCCTCAGTAGCTACAAGAAAGGTCCGTCTGTTTGGTTATAAGGCAGCTTTTAAGAAGACCAAACTAAACAAACTATAGATTACCGGACGGGGTTGGATAAAATTTCACACTCATTGGGGAAAACTGGCGGAAACGAATGTTATTTTCCCATGATTTACATTTCCAGTTTCAGTACAGTCTTTACTCAGAAAATGACTTGGAAATTGTCTCCCCTAATCTTAAGTATTGACCTGCGCAAGGGGATTAATCAAAATTCCGTTCAGTGTACTTTGAAGCCTACAGGCGGCCTTTGATGTTAGTACAGTTTTCTATTAGTTCCATAAAAGAGAGTAGTAAGTATCCCAATTTGATTAGAGTCACAAGTAAATGTGCCTCTAGTTTGCACTGATTCTACTAATTCCTGATTTAATACGGGTGTATGAAATGTTGATTTAGTTATAAGCGCTCTTGGTATTGCACTTTCCCATTAAAGATATTAAGGTCAGTCCCACGGCGGATTATGTTTGCATGGAATGATTATTGATAGTTTTTTTTTTTAAATCAAATTCAAGTGTCTGAAGTTCGGGTCGTGGGTTGATTAAACGAGCCTTCTAGAAATAATAACATGGTTAATTTTGTATTACTTATCTAAAAAAGGGCAAAAAATGATGTTAACCTAGGGAGTACATAAACCAAAATCTAAAGCAAAAATTTGCTAATTTTCCTGGCGTTCTCAACAGTGTCCCAAAACTTACATACCTGATCAAGTTACAAAATAACAAATACTGCCCTATAAATATAGTTTTCTTCACCTAGCTTTAGCCCAAAGAATCATGGGATGGTTTCTTTGTTTATTTCACGGGAAAATTATTTTTTGCGACAGGGTACTATTTTCAATCTTAAAGGGATCTAGGGTAATAAGTAGAGGCCCTCTTCAAATAATTATAAAACAAAAATTCAGTAAGCAGTCTTTTTTCACGATTGTTAAATGTAATATCTTAATTACCACCACATAACGAGACGCAGTGACAATAAATGACTACCTTCTTGAGTGGAGCTTGGACAAATAAAACATTAATGGAATTAAATAAATAGAACCCTGCATCAGCGTCATGAATTTGTCAAAGCAAAATTTAGCAGCATGTATGAATTACCCCACTCAAGAGGTTTTTATTTCACTAACAAAAATTGCTGATAAAAGGGCACTTTTACTGGATACCTTGTATGCATTGATACCATGTACCTTAACCCGTTTTCTACAACTATAGGGTTTCAGTCAAAATTTGTGACTAAAGCTTTATCAGTATTGAGAGTATATATTTAGGTTACACTGGTATCAGTTTCTTTATATTTTTATTGAAATAGAATATACAATATATTAATGATATAGTAAGATGATTAAATGGATCGCATCCACTGCTTCTTTACATGAAAAGTCCACGGTACAACTATTAAAACAGAAAAACTGAGACATTCAGTTCCTCTCATTTTGTTGAAGAACCACATTCCCTGATAATAAAAGAAAGAGCACAACAACAAATACTTCATTTAAAGTGTCGTTTAATACATTTTCAATAGAAAATGTCCACATTTGCAACAAGAACAATACTTTCATTTTTATTCATATTATGTACAAATAATACGATAAAGTGCATGTGGCTACCTTTAAAAATTGGTATAAAAATCAACAATATTTGGAAATATGGAAATTTATAGCGTAATATAATTTATGTCATCGAGAGGCAGAGAGACGACCATCAGCAGTTTAGTTGACTCTTCTTTCATGTAGGGTCCATCATATTTGATCCATGGATCAGAAGATTCTCAAATCTTCTGTTCTGAATGTCCTCAATAATTCATTTAAGTATTTGATCACTAAGGATGTGACCTCAATTAAGACTCATCAGTGGAATGCCGTGGGTACTAGATGATTAAGTTGATGAGAATAAGAATGAAATGCATGGTCACATCAAAAAGCACCAAATTAAAATGGTGATATTCTTTTAAGTCATTAACTTCATTCAATGAACTTAACACATTACTTTATATTTATCCCAAAGATAATTAGCTGTGCCTAGTATTGTTAAAAATTTGTCCAACATTTGATTGAAATGTAATCCATAAAACACCTAACCTGATGCCAAATAAACCAGAAGTCTGTGACAAGAACTGATTTTGAACAATTATTCAGATTGTCCATGATTGCATAATGCATTTCGGTGCATCAACTCATACTTCCTTGTGGTGTCAACTTCATTAATTTAAGTATGCAGTTCACTTTTGATTACTTATTTCAATTTGTGCCTCAAGATCGTAAATTTTACAATTTTGCTTTCAATGTGCCTCCTGTGCCTGGTTTGGGCATAATCTGTTGCAACTTCATGGCTAGAGCCATGTTGCCTGTGATCTTCAGCTTACCAGAGAAGAAAGCCTGTAAATAAATAATAAAAATGTACAGGAAAACATAAATAGTATTTAAACCAGATGCCTTAAATGACATGATAAACTACTCCTGATCTGCAATTCTGTAAATTAACTAAATTATGCACCATATAATGACATGCAGTGGACTGGATGTGCATCATGTAGGCTAGCTCCCTAAGGTTTCTATAAATTAAATATTAACCCTAAATTAAAGATTTATGATAACACTTTCCTCTTAATCCTTATAAAAAAAAACATGTAGCCATCATAAACCAATGAAGTACCTACCTGCTGGGAGTTCAATTTTCCCATGGCCATTTTGATCATGTCATCATCTGACATTGTGATGGTGACATCTCCTTTTCCGTTAGGATCAAACTTGACACTGCCAGAACCATTCTTACAGTCCACCACCCAGCACCCAGTCTTCCCACCAGCTCCAGTCACCTTGAAACAGTACACTGCTTTTACCTTCTTCACCAGGTTGGCGCCATCCTGAAAAATAACCATAAACAATCTGTTAACTTAGCTATACATTTCATATCTATACCTATACATTTCCACATCGTTAATATAAGTTACAATGGAGGAATTAACAACATGTTATGCTTAGAAAATGTCAATACCATGCACCAACATTCAAACCATTTGTATACCTTCTCAATCTCTTTTGTCATGAGATCAAACAAAGCAGCACTTTTGAAGTCTGCAACTTGGGCACTGGTTGGCATGGCCTGGATTCTACCAGTCCTATAATAAAAATATTCAAAATCAGTTCTTCTGTTCCAATTTCATGTACTCAAAGAGCACTATTTTTTACTCTAATATGGCATTACAATTTTAATACTCTTCCTTCTAGCAGCAGCACTGCTATCTTTATGATTTATTATATTATTTCTATTTCTAAAAATATACATGGTTGCATTGAATCATACTCTTCAATTCTTTACTAGGCATTCATTTCCTGTCTAATATAAATGTGTTATCATTATCAATATGGGCTGAAAACATGTCAAATTTATTTATCTATTAAGTTGTATTTTCTTTTTGACCTGTGGTACTCTGGAAACCCCATTCTGTATAAAGCCACTACGACAGCTCCTCCCAGACCAATGTTGTGTTGCAAAGCCAATTTAGCACCAGGCACTTGTCTTTTTCCTGCCAAACCTCTCAACTGCCAGCACAGCTCTGAACACTGGGCCAAACCTTTAAAGATATATTCATTGAGATGTATTTACTTCAAATATTGTAACATATTCCACTGAGTTTATATCTTCATACACTTGTTAACTAAGCACTAATAATAGGGACACCTTAGACAATAGCCGCATTCAGAACAAGTTTGTCCGTGGACTAACAGATCCACAGATCAAATATGGTGCCACCTACTTGAAAATGTGCCATGATTTAATTGCTCTTCCCCTGCTGGGACAGTGCGCATGGGAGGTAGTAACCCATTGTCAATTGTGTGCCATATTTGATACGTGGACTAGTTAGTCTGCGGATTAACTAAGTTGTGAATATGTTCTTTCATTAACTGTAATTAATATTAGTATTACTTTACACAGAAATTTTGCTGTCTGTGGTACCATATTTATTACCTGTTGCACCAAGAGGGTGTCCTTTAGATATCAGTCCTCCACTTGGATTGACCACAAACTTTCCACCGTAGGTATTGTCTCCTCTGTCTATCAGCTCCCCTGCCTTGCCTAAAATACCCACAGAACATTATGATTCAAATTCAATGCCAACAACAGCAAATTATACTATTCAATCTCGTCTAATGTATTAACAAAAATGTACTTAAATTGATTACAACATAGAAAGAACACAAAGCTGTTGTAAACAGATAGCAATGGAGTCAACTTCCTATGAGACACATAGAAAGAGATGGAAGCTTACTTTTCAACAAACTAAATACTCTGCTCCAGCCTTACACGTTCCAACCGCCTCCCCTGTGTACCTTTATTCTGAACTGATCAAAGTTCACACCTAGGTACAGTTAACATTTTATATCACTGACCTACTTACTGACCTGACCTATTTAATTGATATTCAATAGGAATCTGAAACTTAGGGTCGTTTACATAGCTGTGGTAATACTTAATATCTCATCTCTTAAATATCTTTCATCTTTTGTTGCATTTATCATCTGTAACATGGATATTCTATTCAATTAAGAGAGATGTAAATCAAATAAAATATTTATTTCTTCTCAAATCTCAATGTGCCTTCAATCATCAATAATCTATACTATTTAGAAAATGCGGAAATATATTCTTTACATGGTTTAACTGACAAAGCTGCAAATCGTCATGCATACAGTTTTTAACAATACCCCTTTTACAGGACACTCGGTATTTTTAACAGTTCCCTCTTTTTAATCTAATTTTATCATGAATTGGAATGTTTGACCTATAAAAATGGCACATCATGACATCAGGTCACAACTTACTATCAAGAGGGGATTGTGTGAATTCCACGTTCATCTCTACTATCAAAACAACTAAAAATTTAATATTTTTGATATACTTTGCAAGGATTGTTAAACATTAAAGGGATAATAATTCTTCGTTTTGGCCAAAAAATGAATTTTCCTGGAGTAAACAACAATTTTCCCATACTTACCAATGGTTTATGAATCCATTTTTACATTCAAAGTTAGTCCCTGTTTTTTTTTTCTAAAAAGTTTGGTTTTTTGTTAAAATCTCTTAAGAGATTATAACTGAGTACAGCCATCAATGGAGGTCACGTGATCTGAGGACAAGCTCAAAAATCAGAATAATAGCTATAACTGCCGTTATTGTGGTAAAACAGAATATATTATATTTCTATGAGTTGTTCACTATGTTTTTTTTTTGTGAAATATAGATATCATATGAAGAGTTATTATCCCTTCAATTGAATCATCAATTTCACAAACCTAGGACAGGTTATATTCAAAAAGCACCTTCCCTGTGACTTCATTTTGCAAATAACCATATTTCAAGGTTAAATCATTGTGCAAGTGCTAAAGAATGTCACGCTACCTATATCTCATACAACATCAGGTTACAGGATGTTTGGAGCACTGAATAAATCTGACTGGGTAGAATCCAGGAAGAAGTTTCATGTTTCTAGGATATTTAATATATTTGTTTATTCATTTTCAGGGAAGTAGCTAATTCTAAATGTCACAATCGCAATGGGAAAATTTAGTGGTTGTAAAGAAAAACTTTTTCTCTGGTAACCTCTTGGTTTGACGAATAAATAATTAAAATCAAACTGCAACAAAATAGAGAATTTATACATACACAAATGACATACCTGGTTCACACAATCCTAATGCTTCATAGGAGATAAGCTCATTTGCAGAGAAACAGTCATGGAGCTCAACTACATCAACATCTTTCACAGAAACACCTACAAAATACATACGGAAGTAGCCTCTTTGCAACCCCACAAATTGAAATGTGTGCACTATTTCTTTGGAAATTATATTTTAAATGTAGATATTTCAGGCGCACACATTCATGTTTAATGTCATTTGTCAACACTATTCAGTGTTTATTATTAGTCTGCTTCATTTTCTCTTAGTATTGGGACTTTCAATAAATGCGGCCGTCACCAGCCAAATTTCGAACATCATACTCGAGTTTGTCACATTACTTTATCACATGTCGTTATATTCAAATTAGCTTAGATCAAGGAGACATAAACAAGTTTATTTGGTAAAATTTCAGTCATAGATAAAATGTTAAAACTCTTCTTGCTAAAACCCCCTTTACACTAGACGGTGTCCTTTCTGTGTCCTTTGAGCGACCAGGAAACTGGCAGCGCTGAGTTTGTAAAATGGAGGCGCATGCAAGCATCACTTTGGTTGCAGAAGGAATTTTCAATGATCGGCACGTGAAGTATTATGTGTTTTTACTCTAAAACGGGGCTGCACTACGGGACGTAGAAAGGACGCTGTCCAGTGTAAAGGGGGCTTAAGCAATCTAGTATCACTAACTTAAGAAACATTCATTTTCATATTAAATATTAAAATATTTATACAAATTGTTTAATAAATATAAACAGACATAAAAAAAACTTTTGTGCTTTCTCCACTCTACACAAATAGTCAATTGATGAATAACAATAATCACACTAAGCTTACCTGTCTTTTTGAACAGCCTATCTGCTGCTGCTTTGGTCATATCATAACCAACCTTAAATTTTAATTAACAACAACTTGTTATCATTGAATTTTATGCATGCATTTTTTCAACAAAAGCAGATGTTATTTACATAAAGTTTATGTATAGGACAACAATGTATTAATATAGCAATGAACAAGTTCACAACTGGGGTTTTCAGTACCATTTTCATACAGCTATTTTCCTGGAATGTGGTGGGTAGATCAGTGGCCATCTCCATGCCAAGGATCTCAACAGCCTGAGCCTGGAGGCCATGACGCTTTACAAACTCCTCACTGGCCACCACAGCACATGCTGAACCATCTGATGTAGGGCTAAATGGACAAGGACATTTGCTAACTTAATTAGTTTCTAAAAATCCTTAAGAATTTAATATGTATTGTTCAATTGTAATACAAAATTCTTTAGAAGACCTTTAAAAAATGGCAACCACATGAGCCATCTAAAATGTATAAATGAAGATATTAAAAAAGAATGACAATGGAACAATTTGCTGCATTTCTTCCCAGAAGTACTGGCTGAGGAAAGACAACAGTTTAACTAGAGGATCAGAGAGGCAATACTGCCTCCGGATATTGTACCACCAGTAAGTGCATTCGGATGGATAACCAAAAAAAGGGACACCACCACCAGTCTTATGTTTGACAAGATCTATAAAATGCAATAAACAAAAGTTCTCAAAATATGCAAAGAAATGCAAAAAAACATAACTGTAAAAATGGCCCAATAAAGCTGTTTTTCCAATTTACCTGTACTTTCCTAACATTGATCACTCCTGTGATTTTCTAGACAAAAGGCCTATTGGTTTTCCTTGAAATGTGTTATCAGTGTTGCATATATGCTGACAAAAGAGAAAACCTAGGGGCAACATTGGGCATATCTCTGCTTGTTTTGAAGATATGAGGGGCAAGAAAATATGCAAAGTTTAGTGATTTGTAGCATACACGCTGGTGGTACTAATTAGTACTTACCAACACTGAAGTTTGGTCAGTGGGTTGTGAATACTAGGGGAGGCAGCTATTTCTTCCAGTGTATATTCTTTCCTAAACTGGGAATACCTGAAAGATTCGACATATCTTTATCATTCAAAAACAACAGGTGGTAAATTTCACATTTTATAAAAGCCATTTTAAACCACTATCTGCTGACCACCATATTGCTTGAAAAATGAAATAAGCATTAATTAACACATGAATCATTTAAGTAACACTTAAAATATTTATTTATAGTCTTTTCCTTATATACTTACGGGTTGTTTACAGAATGCTTGTGGTTCTTATATGCAATTTTGGCAAAATGCACTGGCTTTGTTCCTAGAATAAATGATAAACAGAAAACATTTATGAATTAGCATTCAATTGTAAAATTACTATTTTGTTAATACGAAACCCTTTTATTTCAAACTTTCACAAGTTGAAACAGTGGAGAACAACAAATGTTTCTCATATTCATATAACTTACCATACTTCTCCATGTGTTCTCTGCCAGCATTACCAAACATCTGGGCTGTCACTGGAGAGGGTTCCAGACCAAATGTATTGGCCATCACTTCCACATGCTTATCCATGGGGTTAGTCCTGTCAGTGTACTGGTAATAGAGAGGTTAACAGAGTGCATGCTTCATCAGCAATAAAATTTTTAATAAGAAAAAGATAACATTTTCAAATAAGTGTTCAGTGATGAGCTTTAAACAATATCAAAATTAAAATAGGCCTACACCATGTGTCCAGTAGGGACATATTTAAGTAATTTTACCTTTGCAGAAAGGGATCCTCTTTCCATCTTCTCAAACCCAAGAGCCATCACACAGTCTGACAAACCTGAAACGGCAATTGGGACAAATCTGTTTTCTTTAATCTTTTGGCTTTACAGTGACTAATCAAAATAACACTTGAAGATATGGTAACACTTGAAGATATGGTAAATGTCATATTCTTTTTTACATCATTAGCTAAAAATATTGTTATTTTTACCTCCTTCAATGAACTGCTTGGCCATCAACAATGCAGTTGATCCAGTGCTACAGGCATTGTTCACCTGAATGAAATTGGTTATTTTTATCAATAAAATACTAAAGGGATAAGCTGTTTTCATTGGGTATACAATTGTCTTTTTTTTTTTGACAATTCCAGAATCTTTTTAGGATACTTAGAAGCCAACCCAAAGACCTGTCTAACCTCAATTACAGTGGCATTAGGTGGAAAAACAAAAATGTCAGATTCACAGCCTATAGCAAGCTAAGATGATAAGCTGAGAAAAGTTGTACTTATGTAAACAAGATGTAAACTAGCTTTACTGGACACACTGCTTTAGAAGAACAAATAATATATTTCTCTGGACACCTTGCAAAGAAAACTTTTCCACTTTTACTCCATCATAAATGAATCATTAACCATCATAACCTAACTTTGTTTAGTTACTTTTTTATACTAACATTGTATACTGGAACTCCAGTCATCCCCAACTGATACACAGCTCTCTGGCCACATGTTGTATCTCCTGCAGAAAAACAAAAAGTACATTTTTGAATTTTATAATATAATTCAAATGTTGTAAAATGTTTTGATTTGTGAAATGAAAATAATAAGGTTTATAGATGCTGATAGGAAATGTATATATATGTGCTGCAAATGAAGGATCTTTATCTGCATTTCACATGACTTTTAAGTCATTTGACATTTAAAATTGTCAAACTTACCATAGACATAACCTACACAAACTTGTTGCACCTCATTGTATGAAATGCCTGCATCCTTCAAAGCCTTAGAAGCTGAAAGAAAGGATTAGTGAAAGATAACATTTATTATGAGATAATCAATTTTTATCGACAGTATGAATAACTTATTGCCAAATCAAGATTCCTGGTACTATCATCTTTAAAAGCTACAAGCAAAGCGTGATCATAGCATCTTATGTGGTACATCCATGATCATATTTCAGCCATGCTCTGAATTTATCTCATATTACCTGATTCCTTTGCCATATCAGGATAATCAAATTCATCTCTCCTGCCTGGTTTTTCAAACTGAAAAAAGAGTTTGCATAAAATCATGTAATTGCCTGATTCAAAGTAGAACAGGACAGAATAAAGGAACATGTTTGTTTTTTGTCATTTTTTACTTGGCACCACCCTGAGCTTCAGAGATAACTTGCCACTAACCTCTTCACTATAGCCTATCTTCATAGTGTCAAGTTACCTCTGACGAAAATAGTTTGACCTAGTTTATATAAGCCAATCGAATCCATGTTTCAAAATTGGTTGACCGTCAATCGGTAATCCTTGGCTGATTCCGCAAGCTCCATACTAACAACATAGTTATTGGCTAGTGCAGAGACATCCGAGTAGTTCAGAGTGCATAACCGTACACAAAGAAAGCATGGAGTATATCGAAATTGAAACAAGAGCAGTTTGATGCCCTGCATCATTATCTACTGAGGGATGATGTATTTTGCGTGCTGCCCACAGGTTACGGCAAGTCCCTGATATTCAGCCTTATCTTTGATTGGTCCGGATTTGAACAAAGCGCGCTTTGACTCGTTCGCGTTCATTGGCTAGATCATTCAATGAGTCATTGAGTGCGGGCTTTAAATTTGATTGGCGGGCGGTGGGGGCAATCGAATGTGGTCAGAGGTAACTTGACACGATGAAGATAGGCTATAGTGAAGAGGTTAGTGTCAAGTTATCTCTGAAGCTCAGGGTGCTTGGCACATTCTTTCTGTATTTTTATACACTCACTATATTCAAAGCAAATTGGGCACACTTATGAATAAAGTGCTTTATTCTTTATCTTTCTTGCAGTCAACATATATATATATACCACATTGATAAGGATCACATGACTTTAGCCTCCAACTATAAACTAACAAGAGGGAGCTATCATTATTTTGGATTTAAACCTATGCAGAACTAGACCTCTCATAAAGGACGTTGTTATGGGATTACAATTGATAGTTAAGAATAGATCAACTTACTTATATTATGAATTTAAGACTTTTATAATGAATTTTAGAAAGGTTAATTAATTCAAATTATTGGTTTCTGTATCAACTTTGATGTATAATTGTGTCTTCTATGAACTTAGTAACAGTTGTTTTTCTGTTATTTGCTTATGTAAATAATTTTTTTTAAACTAACAAAGAAAGCTCAACAGGCCTTTAAGAAGTGCAAAGATTTGTATAGTCCCTTTGACATCTACTGTGTCATGTGATAATAAATATTTAGAGACCATAAAATTTACAGGGGGTTCAACAAGTGAGCTGGAGATAGAAAACTCAGGACATTTTTTTATCCATTAATGCTAAAACCAATATGCCTTATGTCATTTTCAGTATTATTCAGTATTATAGAGCTAGGACTTGCTCATTTAACTTATTAAATGACAACTTTCAGTACTAGTATACAGATAACATACTCTAGCATTGCCACATTACCGACGTAGAAATTATTCAGATGACATACTTCAACATAGTTACAGCTAAAATGTATAATTAACTTCAAAAACGCAGCTAAGTGTCAATTATTATTTGTTTCTATGACTGTAGAAATTCAGCTATGAAAATCATGAATATTAAAAAAAATAAACGACGATCCTTCAAACCGATTGTCTTAGACTTTGACCTTTGCCTTGCACAATATTTACATTTGTCTACAAAGACAACGCTACCAACAATTTCAATTTGAATATGACATCGAACTGCTTTTACTGATTAAAATGTCCCAAATGCATGTAACAGCTATAGAAACTTGATAAAAAAATCAATACAAAGTAGATCTTCTTACGACAAGAATTTCTTACTTTTGTCATACCGACACCGACAACAAATACTCTTCTTCTGGGCGCAGCCATGTTGGACTTTAACTTCAGTGCCCGGATGCTGCACTACTTTTTGTGACCGAATTTCTGACAAAGATTAATACTCGAACGTCTGCAGTATAGTATTCATACCTTATTTTCCAATGATATTGAATAAATCTACTTAGTCTTTTTAGAAGTAAGAAAATCATAGAGATCTTTTCAAATTTTTACTCCTAAGAGCTGTTGACTTTTCATTTGAAGAATTACGTTTCTCAAGTCAAAGAACATCCGCAAGTGTGTGAAAGGTCATTAGCTTTTGGCGCGGGTTATTGTTATGATCTGTATTTCCTGACCTAATTATTTTATCACATTTTGAACAAATAATGTTCGATCGATGTCAGTTGTGATAAGTGAATCCTCAAGTTCATCTGGGACAATAATGGCGTCATAGAAGACTGTGGTTGTCTCCATTTAATTGGTTTGTACAGGTGAGTGTCCCTGACCCGGTTTCTCCTGACAAGTTTTGTTTAACAATGTTACATGCAGAAGCTTATTATCTCGAAAAAAGGCGCATTTGAAATTAAACAGCAATTCAAATAAAGAAATGGTGTTAACAATACTCTTGATGTTTAATGCACAAATTTTCTGTGATATATCTTTCATTACCCGGATCGACAGCGCCAATCAAATGGTCAGATGTCTGACAAGATCACTGCCCAAATACCAACTTTTTAATAACAGTATGTTTCAAGGCGTAATGGCATTTGACATCCTAAATTTACTATTAAGATTTCATTATGGGTGATTTCTGACCAAATGTGAATCTGTGATAAAGTGCATCAGTGACCCTTCTATCATGCCCTTTAGTATTGCCTCTGGCACATTAGCCCTCCAAAGGTTTAGCCTCTGGCACTCCTCTTTATGGTTTCAAAATACTGTTTACTGTAGTGGTGGTGCTAGCAGTAAAACAAAAATTGTGCTTGGAAGAACTGGGGCAGACTTGCACAGGGTACTGTGTTTCGTGGCAGATGTTTTAAGGCCAGTAGTAGTGTGCATTAATAACCAATATTTAAATTATTCAATTGTAGAATCTTGTAATGGGCATGTTGGAATGCTGTATGCTTGATACATTTGCTGACTTCAATTTGAGTATGGTAATGACAAAAATGGGCAAAAATTATCAAATTTAAAGATACATTTTTAAAATCATAAAAATTATATTTTTGTATATATCATTTGTGGTGCTTTTAATGCATAGAATAGAACTATAAGGTACTTTGCTTTTCAATTTTGTTGAAACCACTCAATAGGAATGCCCTTATATTAAGAAATTATCACTTGAAAAATACAATATCTGTAAAATTCAGAATTTCCCCCCATGGAAAAGATCAAGTCATTACCGTGTGATTCCTTAGAGCATTACCAACATTGGCTTCAGAACTATTCAAAACAGTACTCTTGTGCCCCTTTTCTTATCATTTCTTTTTCAAAATTAGAAGAGTTCCATGCCTTTTGTTAAGTTTCATGTCTTAGTACAAGGCCACAAAGCTAAATTTCACATGCAAATGTAGAACATGAGATTTTTTTTTTACCAATAGATAAATGATCATGATGAATGGGGAAATACCTCAAATCCCGATCACAACACTGGCAGGGATTGCAAGTCTAACAGATTGTAAGTTTGTACTTTGTGATAAGATAAAAAAATTTTTTAAATAGATCTTGGTTTACATCATTTGAAAATTTAAGATATGACAATGAGTTTTGAATTTTTTTCCGCTTTTTAATTAAGTATTAAAATCTATTGATATTAATGTCTGTAAAATTGCCCTTTTTACCGAATGTATTTTGTTAAATGTGATTATGCTTACATAATTATTTTTAGATAAAGATTGTATTGGGAATTTTTTAAATAAAATATTTGGGACATGTTCTGTTTTTAGTGCTACCTGAACTTCCCCTACCCACCCCTATGCCTCAGACTGTCCACAACAAAAGTCTGCTATACCATCCAAGGATTGCAGAAGAAGCCAGGCGTTTGCTAGCATCAAGAGATGAAAACTTGGTGCCACAACTTATCCATGCACTAAGTCATACAAATGTTGAACACATGTAAGTAACTTAAATCCTACCAAAATGAAGTTAAAGGGATAATAATTCTTCGTATGAGATCTATATTTCACAATAAAAACATTGTGAATAAGGCTTCGTTCACATGCAATGTCTATTTTCTAAATTCTATTTTCTATTCGCGGCATGTGTTGTGATCACCGTCTGTGCCCTGAATATCCCGTGGCGTAATTACTGGCAGCGCGAGCCAGTTACTATAAGTTACTATAAGTAACTGGCTCGCGCTGCCGGTAATTACGCGGCGGGATATTCAGGGCACAGACCGTGATCATAAGATAGCGCGAATAGAAAATAGAATTTAGAAAATAGACATTGCATGTGAACGAAGCCTAAGTCATAGAACAGTGTTTGACCTTCATTTGAAATAGCACAGGCCAATTTGGCCAGTGTTTTTTGAAAGTTACAGGCCAAACTGAAAATGTACAAGCCAGATTTTGGCCTGTTTTATTAAGAAGTTACAGGCCATGTGGTAATGACTGATGATTGAGATGTTATCAGGTACCAATGCTGCATAGTTAGTTATAAGTCATATGCAAATAAAGATAAAATTAAAAACTGTTTTGATAAATCGTTTTACTCAGTTTAGACTCTAGAAGTACTTGTTTCAAGATAAATATTAAAATGAGCTTTAATTAAATATCATTTTAAATATCATTTTATTAAAATATTACAACTAAACTCATGATATTATGGGTGAACTTTGTACAGTAGGTCGCTCTGACTGAGATGAAATCGGTGAATAGCTGTAAAGCTGACGAGATTGTTAACATTTCAAGTGTATCCGAGGTGACATAAAATTCGTCATATTGCTTTATTTGAATGGTATTGCATTAGCGCAAGGTAGGTAATTCAAGTCCTCTTACCCTGAACACGTTGCTAATCTTCGCGCGTTTGAAAAAACTTTTTTTGCTCTGCTCAGAAAAAGATTTTTAGAGAACGTCAAAAACATGCTTTGAGTCAGAGAGCTCAGACCGTTAGCTTGCATCAGTTCGTTCCTGCTTTGATTTTGTTTACTCATCATTTGATGCTGATTCTGAGATGTTCTCCGTCTCGTTTATGGGACGTTCGTAATTTTTTAATCTGCTCCATGATCCACTTGCATGCTTTCTCATGGAAGTATCGACTGCGCATAATCCCAAGACGTACTTCGTCAAACTCCGTCGCACAAACGAAGGGACTTTCAAAATCGACAGTGAGACTGTGAATACGTCATTACAGAATTCCTCAACATCAACCAATCACGATTATTACTTATGAAAATAAAAACGAGGTTGAACTTCCCTGTAAATGTTGGCATGTCAATCGGACTTTTATTGAGTCTAAATTTTACTGATACACTTAATAAAGAAAGTTGACATAAATATACTCGCCAAAATGGCGACTTGCATCATAAATTTCACACGCCAGATTTAATTTTTACTCGCATTGGCGTGCTGGCGAGTGTGGGTGTCAAACGCTGTAGAAATGTAATATATTCTGTTCTACCACAAAAACGGCAGTTATAGCTATCATTCTGATATCTGAGTTTGTCTTTAGACCACGTGACCTCTATTGATGGCTATACTCTGTTAAAAATTCTTAAGAGATTTTAACAAAAAACCAAACTTTTTAGAAAAAAACCAGGGACTAACTTTGAATGTAAAAATGAATTCATTAACCATTGGTAAGTATGGGAAAATTGTTGTTTACTCCAGGAAAATTCTTTTTTTGGCTGAAACGAAGAGTTATTATCCCTTTAATTAGTATATGCTTCTTAATAATGGCTAAAATATCAATGTACATGCATAGTAATTTAGTTCAAGATTATATTTCAAAGACAGTGATCAGGGATTTTGGCATTTTGTAACATATTAAGGGATTTTGGTAACATCTTATGTTATATGTGTCCATATTACAGTGAGTTGAAGGATAATTCTGTGGGAGATGCAATTGAAGGAGAAATCCCCGAACTTCTGAAAGCTGTACTAGCACAGAACCCAGCTGTCTTCAAGAGTGGTAGACCACAAGAAAGTAAGCATTGCTAGAAAGTTAATGTCATGATTGAGCAAAATTACAGTGACAAGTAAAGGCTACTTTGTTTAAAAACATGAGCTTTTTATTTCGAGACAATTTTGATAACTTTGACATCGTATTGTTATTTCATACATTTATATAAGTTCTTAATGAAAGAATCCCAATTAATATTCTTCTTGTTAAGGTGTATATCCCAGACAGCCCATGGCTCCCACACAGCTTCCACAGCAGATGCAGGGCTCCCCCTACCAGCCAGGCAATAACATGTCACCCTATCATCCTGGCAGTCCTGCAAGGTTACACACATCTGTCTTGTGTAGTGCATTTAAATGAAATGATCATCTCTGTAGAGTTTCCAAATTGATGAAAATGAATAGCTGTAATTACTCGGATCTTTCAGTAGTCAAAAATTGTCAAACTTTCATATACATAATTTTATAATCACAAAAATAGTATTTCTTTATAGCATTTTGGTGCTCTTATTTGTATAGAATAGCAGTATAGAGTAGCCTGCTTTTTAAATTTGTTGCTACCACTCAGTAGGAATGAAATTTTGACTTAAAAATACAGCATCTAAAATTTACAATTTTCCCTCATTGACAAGATCAAGTAATTACTGTAGGTCTGAGCATTCTCTACTTCTGTGTTCTGAGTCAGCATAGACTGAAGATAACAGACTAACATAAAACATATCTGTGGTTATTATAAAGTATTAGTTTGTGTCAAAGAACACTGGAGACCTATTCTCTTTTTGATTGTTTATTTTTTATACACAAGCAGCATTATATTTATCCAGTATTACCTCTTTGAATGTGATCCTTAAATTTTGAAGTATATTATTTATAATATTGAAATGCCCTTTGTGTTATCTACATGTTTGTTATATTGTCATTCCAGGTTCACCCCATATGCCCCTCAGCAGCAAGCACAGGGTAACTTGTTTGCTGGCAGTCCATATGGACAGCAGGGTTCTAACAAGTTCCAGAGTCAGTTTGCTGCTTTTGCTGCAGGGCAGCCACAGATGGGACAGGGTACATTCAAGCTAATTTTTCTCAAGACTTTTTGCTTTTTGTGAATTAAAAAGGAATTTAGGAATAAGCATTTGCAGTATAAGCCATTGGTGATAAGGTCTTTTGTTTTATCATATCCAATTCATATCAGTTCTCTGAAATTGTGCCTTTAAGACAAGCTGATAGAAACTTATGGGTATTTATAATTTGTATGTTACGTTTTAGGCCCTGGAAGTGGTGCTGTAAATGGTGGTGATATGATGAATAGCATGTCGCCTGGTTTCCACCAACAACAACAGCCATATATGTCTCCAGCTCACAATAGAATACAAGCAGGAAACTCAGCTGCAGGTAAGGAAAATATTACAATGAAAGTTAAAAGATTTTATAACCTAAAGTTTTATTTTGGAAACACATGTCATTAATTAACCAAAAGTGGTATAAAGATTTACTTGTAGTGTTGAAACCTAGATTTTATGAGAAGATTTTTGTTCTAGGTTCCCCAGGTCATGCTATAAGCCATCCTGTAGACAGAGATAAAGGCCAACCCACCTCTAGTCTTTCTACCATGGACAAACAAAAGGAAAGCACACCAGCAAACTCCAAGTCCAAACAGAGGAGGCGTTCCTCTGCATCAAAGTCAAGTGAACCAGTGGTTGTCCTAGAGCCACTTAGTTCAGAAGTAAGTACCCATGTGGTGAGATAGTTGAAAAGGCTTTTGCACTAAAACTGATAGCTGACTTGAGCAGATAAGTTTTTTCTTGGACAACTTAAAATGCCTTGTCTTGTCACCTGTCAATTGATTTTTTTCTTTCCCATTGTTATAATTTAGGATGTCAATCAGTTTCAATCTCCACCAAGAAAAGCTGGTGTAAGTAAGAAATCTACCTCCAGTAAGAAAACTTCCAAATTGCCTAGTGGGGATATGGCTCAGGTATTCTGACACATTGCCTTCCTTGTATTCATGTAGCATGGCAATGGTTGTGTCAGAATATTGTCCTGCATGACTAGATATGCATGTTGTGGTGGAGGTGCATGATTCCTGACAAAGCAGAATGAAAGACAACATAATTTTATTATATCAAAGTAAAAATAATATACTGGTATCATTAAAGCAAATATTTACACCCAATTCTACATAGTTGCAAACACGCACGCACGCATACACGCACACACATGCACACACGCACAAACACTTTTAAGGTTTGGTCTGACTTTTAAAAAATATGACCTAAGTTTTTGTGTTAGATTTGAATATATGTATCTCAAATTTATGATAAAATGTGAATTGCAACATTGGTTTCCCCAAGTCTCATTTTTTTCTCTATTTGGTCAACATCTGCCACGTCAAATGTTAACATTCTGTGCATGGGATATATTAACCCTTCTACCCCACTCCCTTTTATCCAAACACACCATATGTTCTATTACCAAATTATTTTAAAGCTCAAGTATATTCAACAACATTATGCATATTTTCAATATTTTAACATAATATGTACCTTTATGTTGTTTTTTTTATTCATATTATTATTTAAATGTACTGTTGATGAATGTTGTAATTTAGTTTGCTGAATAATGTTTAATACTCTGATCTTGTACTGATTAAAAATTAGTTATAATGCACTAACATTTTACAAAATAGAAATATCATTGTTAAATATTTCATGGTTTTATTTTACAGGCAATAAAATCCATGACTCCTACCTTGAAATGTAAGTAGAAAAATTATATTTGAATATTGAGTAGATATACAAATGTTGAGGTAATTTCTATTGAAAAATTCACGTGTCCTTATGCAGCTGTATAATTTGATTTTTATTGATAATATAATGGTAATATTTCTTTTCTCCCAGTAACCAGAATAGATGCAGATGGAAAAAAAGAAAAGGGAAAATCTGGAACTACTTATGTAAATCCTTCTGGGGAATTGCAGATGAAGTTTTCAAAGGACTCCATGAGCAAAGGTGAGATTCTACAACTAGAAATAATTATATGTTATGCCGAAATACCAACTAAATAACATATTCAAACAAGCTACACAGTGTGATTCCAGTTTTGGATTTTAAACAAGTTTTACTTTCCTGACTGTGATGTTTGTGTGGATAATGACATAAACTGGGCACTTATTTTGTGTCCTTATATTTTCTAATGATTAGGAACAAAAAGGAGGAGGTCTATAGAAGTAATTGATGCAGATGAACCAGAAGAAAATTTTGGTGGGTTTTCCATGACTCTGAGCGAGCGCATTAAGCGTCGTCGTCGCACAGGTTCCCATGCAGGCTCCACTTCCCCTGTTGCTGCTGCTGCTGCTGCTCCTCCCAAATATACTGAAGAAGATTCTAGTGAAGAAAGTAGACCACCAACACCTGTGGAATGTAAGTGCCTTCATAATTCCTTCCTAAATTAATTAATTTTTACTTACTTTTTTGATCGTGGAGTTTAATGTTGATTTGGTAAGTTCTATTGAAGTTAGCTTCATGACTTTATGCATATCTTGTTGATAGTGCCAAAGAGTTCCAAAAAGAAAAAGGACAAAAAGCAGAGAAGATTACAAGAGCAGTCTGACCTGATGAGCCCAGAGGAACTGATGGAAACCGGGACATTCAAAAGGTTCAATAATGCAGTAGATGGTGCTTTAGAGGCTGCAGAAGATGCTGATATGTCATCATTGTCGCGGGTAGATTTTGGTAAGTATTAGCAACAAATGTAATAAGAACTTATGTTAGTTCATCTATCCAGGTAAATTTACTGATAACATGGTTAGACTGTGTAATTTATTTGAAAAATTGTGAATGCTGACCTATTATTAAAGGTGTAAGCATAACCCATGTTATAAATGATTTGTTCCAGATGATGAATCAGTTGAGATTCCACCAGAAATATTGTTGTCCAAGTCAGCACTAAATGAACTGTGCAGTGAGTCAGCCAAATTAAAAGCAATGGGAGTTATGAATCAGGTAAACCATCATATTGCTTGTAACATAAAGATCATTACAAGGAAGTCCAAAACTTATTTTGCAATAGATCCATGAAAATGAGTAAAAAGTGATGATTTTTTTATCATATTTTACTTTTGTGTTTGTTCCAGGTGCCTTATGAAAAGCTGGTTAAACTACTAACAGTTCTGGCCTGGAACATACGAGATGGAGCCAAAATCTTGCCAAATATGGCACAGGTATGAGCTATTGAGATACTGAACTGAAAGATTTCAGGTATTTCTTATATGTTCAGCTTCAGATATTTGTGGGGAGTTTACTGAAACTCAACAGTGTCATCTCGTATGAATTGAAATAAGATCTTATTTAGTAAAATATTAGTAGGCAGGGTATCATATTTTCTTGTAAGTGATCAATCATACTGGGTAAACTTTTTTGATATTTACAAAAGGCAATGTAATTTTGTTCGAGCATGTGATATTCTCCCATTTTGTAGATTTTTTTTTTCATTTTTATGTGGGAAAGAAGGCTAAACTTTGTATTAAGTGTTAAGTTGGGGGTTGTTAATTTTTCTGTTTTATATACTCTGTCTGTTCCCATCAGTAATTAGAAATGAAGCTTATAGATCTCCATGTGGTCGTACCTTTTTTATCAGGACAATGAAGGTGATGATGAGGAGCAGCTGTGGAGAGAGCTGACCATGGAGAGGGTTATGCGCAGTGTGGATGCCTCTCTCACATCACTGTACGTTATGACATCACCAGACATGCCTAAGCAAGTGTACCTAGAGGATGTCATTGACAGGATACTCATTCTTACCAAGTTCCAGTTGCTGAATACCATTTACCCAGAATATGACCCAGTTTATAGGGTAGATCCAAAAAATAAAGGTAATATTTCATTGAAGAGGAAGTTGAGTACTGAAGATGTAGAATTTAAACTTGGACTTGCTTCAAGATAAGAAATTTGTAACTTGTTATCAGACAGTTTGAAAAAGGTGCTATTTTTATGTAATGGCATTGAATCAAATGCAGCAAGTATAAACTTGTTTGGTTATTAATGAATAATTGTTTTCCTGCAGAGGGTTTCCAACAGCATGTTAAGATGAAGCGTGCCAGGTCCCACGGTGCCAAACACAAGACTACCATTGCACTGTACAACAAAATAACAGAGATAGTAGGGGCCCTAGCAGAACTCATCAACATTCAGGAACTAACAGACACTTTGATATTACAGGTATACATTTGTATGTGAAATATTTGAAATTTAGAACCCAAAGTCAGTTAGCATAAAAATTGATTGACTGTTTTATATGATGTTTTTTGGAAAACCATTGTCTTCACAAGGATTTGAACTAATTTTACATATTTCTAGGTGTCTTCATTAGGATGTGGTCCATTTTTTGTGGAAAATGTCAGTGAACTCCAACTGAATTCCATGAAAGTAGTAACAACTGTAAGTGATATGTGACTAACTTTTGTGTCTGTCAAATTGTGACTTTAAGAAATAACACCATAAAATAAGTTTAAAGATGTGTAATAAGTATTTTGATATTCAAACAAATGTGTTCCTGAAACACTTTCAGCAATTCTTAGACCAAACTTTTCCATATGTATGTTTCTGTTGAGGAGAAATTAGCCCTTGTTATGCAATTTAAAGGGATAGGAATAGAAAACGGCTTGATAATCTGGTATTTATCTCATTCAATAATTTTCATTTTTAATTAGGTGTATTCAGGTTACGAAAAACACAGAGCTCTTATTATAGAAGACATTTTTGCATCTATAGCACGTTTACCCAGTAGTAAGAAGAACCTTCGGAGCTACAGGTGTGTTATTGTAAATGGATTTGTGCTGTAGAAAATAGTCAAGGTTGTAGTAAGTGTGCTCAACATAATAGTGTCACAGATGTTTAATGCTGTATGATTGTGTTAGGTGTGCACTGCAGAAAAGTGTCGTCACATTGGTAGGTGTGTGCTGTTATGTTTGCTGTAGAGAATGCTTGTTTAAAAAATAGAGTTGTATTATTTTTAAACTAATTATAGTTATCTAAATCTTATCACTGTATGTCTGTGTATTCTCTAGATTGAATGCAGATCAGTCAATCCAGATGCTGACTGCATTGGTGCTGCAGCTCATCCAGTCTGTGATAGCATTGCCAAAACCTAAGGAGGATGAATCTCGTGCACCCACACCCTCGGATGACAAAAATCAGAAGACAAAACTGAAGGTAGATTTTTACAAAGAGGTTTAATTAATTAGTGGTAATGATACTTCTTTTATTTGGTTATGTCCATCAGGGCTTTTCCTAGGATTGTGGTAACAGGGAATCTAGTCCAACTACAACAACATCTGTGTAAGGGGTTGGGGGCAGGGTTCAACTACAGTGTGTGGGTATATAGCATATTTTTCATTAATAGATCTTTAATTTCTTTTTATTTTAATGATGTAGTACTAATATTTTTCTTTAAAAATATATTAGTATACCAACTCATCATTACTGTATTATAATTTTAAAGCTTATAACAGTGAATGAAATAAAAGACTATTAATACACAAACAATGATAGAACATGCATATCCTTCCAGTTTTGTAACTTCTGACATACACTGCAGTTTGCTTTCAAATGCAGCATTGTTTTTGTAATTGACACTGTACATTATGGAATGAAATTAACTGCAATCTTAACAGTATCACAGAATAAGCTAAACTGCCAAGATGAGGGCCAAATACAGCCAAAAATATTTGTGAATCCTTTACTTGTATCAGGAGAAACTAAAACAGTTACTACTTGGTTTGCTGATGTGTAGACAATTAGGTGCTCTGCAGCACCATAAGGGAAACAGACAAGAGAAAAGAGCCATGTAGTGTCCAAATTTCAATGTGCTTCCTCCTCCCCCCCCCCCAGAAAAGTCGAAAAGATGTATAGTAGACAGCAAAATTTTAGGGACCATATGGACTTGATACATGTAACCAGGTTCAATTGAATTGTTCAGATATTTTTAACTTTACTCTTACATCTGTCTCCCCCTAAATTGTAGACCACACTCTTCCTGATTAAACAGGAGATCTTACTAGTTGATCAAATTGGACACACATGCAATGCAACAACATGTATCAAGTTTACTTTCATTTCATTATGCTGTGATGTATTTTTCATGTTTTTACACAACTGGGGGAGCATAAAATAATCTAGGTATATCAAAATACCTTCCAGGAATTTTCTAGGTTGTCCATTCCTCTCAACAAATAAAGTTGCCATGTCCCTAAAATTTAGTGACTTGTCTAGCCATATTCTGCAGAAACTGGCTATGCAATTGACAGCTGGGTGGCTCTCTGGGGAAAGCATTGATGTCTAATGTAATTGGTTGAGTTGCTCAGAACAACATAATAGTGTTCTTAAATTTGAAACTAAAGGTATGTTTTGTATATTACAAAATTTGTCTTTTTTTTTTTTACAATTCCAGAAGCTTACTGATGATGAGGTCATAATAATTACCAATTATGAAAATGCCATGAGAAGTGCCCACAATTTTTTGGCTGTTTTTCTCAGAAAGTAAGTTAATAATGCATTTTTATGTGATAACAGGACAATTATTAACATAGAATTCAGAATGTATAAGCAGATATTTATAAGAGAAGTTTGTTTTTTTAAAAGGGAAAGTTAAGCTTGAAAATCACTTCAGATATTGCATAAAAAGCTGCTGTAATAGAAATGGCATGTTCTGCTCTTATTACTGGAAATACTAAATGTGATTTTTCTTTTAGGTGTTCAACTAAAGGGGAAGAAGACTATAGGCCGCTGTTTGAAAACTTTGTGCAAGATTTATTAGCAACTGTGAATAAACCTGAATGGGGAGCTGCTGAATTGTTGCTTAGTTTATTGGGCACATTACTGGTGAGTATAAAATGTATAAAATAGAATCTGTAAACAGTTAAGTAAAGCTAAAGCTCCTAGTCAGGCAGCATTCAACATCTTGGTGTATTAACTTGTGTGAAAAACACATAGAATGTGATTAATTAACATACCCATAGATTGAACTATCTTTTAACTAATGCCTGTGTTGTAAACTTTTAGCTCTTAACAGAATGGGGAACACTATTTATTTTTACTATTTTCTTTAATGTTTATTTCAAAGGTTTATTTAACTCTAACTTTATACTGTTTTTTATATATGCATTAAGTATGTTTTTATATATTGCGAAGGGTACAAAACACCCATTTTATTATATGTTACATATATTATACTGTAATTGTTTAATTCCTGTTATCTGTTGATTAAAAAAAAATACTACTTTAATCTTATAACATAACACAGCTGATGAAATTCTTCTCTATCTTAGTTAGGCAGTTGATTTATTGATGTAAGATGTAGATAGGAATATGAAAGGCATGTCTAAAAGGTAATAATTCCAAACAAAAAATTCCAATTTTCCCTGTTTATTTATCCCCTGAAGGTAAACCTTTTGTTTTTGGTTGAAATTATAATGAATTTTTTTTTGTGACACCATTTCTGCTACTTTTCGGGTGCTTCCACAAAAGACATTTTGATTTTTACCTATATTAAGATAAGACTTTATTTAACCAATTATAAAAATCAGAAATCATTTTCCATTTGGAGCAAGTTTGGTAATATACAGAGTAAAAGTAATACAGTAGATAAATTAAGAATTTGGTTTTGAGATCAAATTAAAATGCGTCACTGCACTTGGGTAAAAGCTGTTTAAAAAGCGTTACTATTGCTTGGTAAAAACGTAAAAAGTGATGATGCAGGATGAAAAGAGTCTTCCATGGTGTTGACGGTTCTTTTCTCCATTCTGTCTTTGAAAAATATCATCCAGCTTGGGTAGATCCTGCCCGATAATCTTGCTTGCAGTTTTTACAACATTGGTTAGTTTATTGGTTAGTTTAGACCCATTTGACCCATGACCCATTCTACTGCTTACAAACATGTCTTGTTATTTTCCAGGTGAAGCAATTTAGCAACAAAAGTGTTGAAATGTCTATAAGAGTGGCCTCATTGGATTACCTTGGAATTGTTGCCTCCACTCTCAGGAGAGATGCTATCAATAGTCAGATGAATCAAGAGACAATTGATGAGATTATCGATCGGGTAGGTTCATTAATGATATATAGCACCTGCCAGTGGTATTGCTTTAGACTAAATTCTCATTAGCTTTAAAGCTCAGTGTATGAAGTTAATCTGTAAAAGGACGTGACTTTAATAAGTTTGTTACCAATCTCCTTAAATCATTTACATTAGCCGCTGTGTGCTTGACAAACTTAGAACATGTTCATCATTATAGCCCAACATGTTAATGTGTAAAGCAATACAGGTATACAATATCTGTGATCATGTTCTCAAGCGTGTCAAATTGAATTTTCTGAAATTTACCATCATATTGCAGTATATTAATACATAAAGTCACTTTAAGTGTCAGTTAAATTTTATCTGCAAAAATTATATTTACTAATAATGGGCATGTGCACAAGGTGATATGCAAAAAAAAAAAAAATAATAATAATAATAAAATAAATAAAAAAAAATAATAATAATTTTCTCTTTATTTCCCTCAGTGTTTAAAGCATAATGCACTGGTCCAGGAATGTTTCTCACACTTCACAAAGTAGCCATGAAGATGCACTTATGATTTATTTTGAATTAATTATTGAATTCTAAGAGTTCATAGTATTCTGATATTACTTTATTGTCATTGAGTAATAATTAGACCATATTAACCTTGAAAGTCATTGTTATTTTGCTAACATGTCCTCATGTTATAGTTAACACATGTAAGTTTTTTATAGTTATTTAGCAAAATTTAATGAAATGCTACAACATTTATTCTGAAATGCCTGTGTTTTCTGTCTAACTGTAGTCAGTACAGTGTTGTCGTAGTTATGAAGCACCTTGTTTTGCTACCACAAAGCTCTTCTCCTTATACCCAGATACGCATTGATGTCATCTAAAATAAAATTAAAATTGATTTGTACATTATTTTGTAAAATTGCAAGTCTGTTCAGTTCCAAAATTGAGGCTGTGCTAAAATGATTTAAAGATTGATTGACTGCCAATTAGCCTAAAAATAATATTGCCATTTTGATGTTTTCTGCAGCTTACCTATATCAGGTTTTGTACATGTTTTGACATATGGAGAAGAAGGACTACAAAAACCCTGGCAACATTCATTGTGGTACTTGCACTGAAATGATAGAACCATTGGTATTAAATAAATATGAAACTTATTGCTCTTCTTCTGTGCATGGTGGTTTAACAACTGTACAGACAAAAGACTTAAAATGAAAATGAGATTGTCTTTCTTTATTATTGTCATTGTGAATATTAAAAGTTGAGAAGGTGTCTTGATAAGTTTCACTGTGTGTCATTGATGCCAATTGATGGCAGTACCTACCCTGTATCCTGTAGGCCTACAACGCATTAATCGACAAACCCCCTTATAGCACACGGCAGCTCCACAACAATTGATATCTCGCTGGCACTACCCAAAAAACAATTCCATAAAGAGCATGGTGCATTTGAATTACTTATCTCATATTTATTTAAAGTTAATTGTAGGAATGACTTACAGACAAGATGACATTTTCCCCTTTTGAAATAAGCACATATTTGTTAAATCCTGATACATAGTTTTCCAAACCTGATAGAAATGACCGGTATGAATAAGGTTCACACTCACCCACTCTCCAGTATTTGTACAAGCCTCTGTGAACACTGCAACAATCCCAATGGCACAAACCATAAAAATTATTTTTACACTTGATGTCATGATGAATCTGAAGAAAAGGGAATAAAAATGACTTAAGTATTTAACTAAGAAATGTTTTGAGAAAAGATTAACTAAGAAATGTTTTGAGAAAAGATTACCTTTATTCTCAGATCCAGCAAATGAATAGATTAACTATATGTGTATCTTTCCTTTCAAAACTGTAAAATTCATAACCTATGTTGTGGTTAGCAGCTTTCCTCTCTTGGCCTAGAATATGTTATTCTAGATCACTGCACGTTCCTTTTATTTCATAGTAATAGCCTAGTTCTCCAGAAGTGATCATCTGATTGGTGTCGTTTTCCTTGGATCATCTCTCTCAGTGGCTCAGTCACACAACAATTTTCATAATGAATGGAAAAGAATTGCTGTTCATTAAAAATTATTCAAGTAATCTGCAAGTCAGTCTTGTGTTGTTACAGTCTTTCATTGTTAATGACTTGGAGGTTAGCATCTAGAATTTTTTTTTCAAAAATAACAATTTCAAACAAACAATTTAGATCCTTGAAATTTCTAGTTGTGTCACTACAACCCACTTGTACAACTCTTAGCTGTTGATAGAAAGCGGGGAATTTCTAGTACAACCCACTTGGCTCACTTCTACCTATAGTTCTGTCTTGCTGAATTTTTGTCCAATAAACCTTGCTGTTGTTCCTCAAAATATTTGATAGAAAACCTGAATTTTTCAGTACAATCAGAATCCACTTGAGTCTCATTTATCTGTAGTTCAGTCTTGTGGATAGAAAACATGAAATGTTCAGTACAACCTACCTGTAAAACCTCTAGTTGTTGACAGGAGTGGAATTTCTCGAATGACTCGCTGGCTGGTTTTATCTGCAGGTTGGTTTTATCTGCAGGTTAGACTTATTGATAGGGAAAAATAAAATTTCCAGTGTGACCACTTGAAGTTCTAGCTGTAAATTGGTTTTGTAGTTTGAGAAGCAATATATATTGACCAGAAGAGCCTTGATTGTATCTACTTGTCAAGTTATGTCCTGTTAATGGTACAAAAAGTGATGAAATGATAATCCTCCTAGAGAATAGAGCATTTGGGTAATAAACCCAATGCTTCATGTGATGGTTTAAGGTCTTGAGGGAAAGCCAAATGACTTGCAGAATGAAAGGTTTCATGATATCTCCACTCCCTAGAGGAAGGAGTCTCATTAGTGGGGAGCACTAATATGGATTTGACAGGCCATTAATTCTTACTCAACCAAAACAATCTTCTGATACAATTAACCAGCTACACTATCAAAATTAAATTGAATCTTATCAATCTTATGGGACACGCTCCATGAAATGCTCCTTGGTAGCTGTAACATTTATTAAAGGGGAAAAGTTGATGCATGTAGTTCTTTTTTTCTTTCAACCCACTCAGATATATTAATCATGTTACATGATAGAGATCACGAAATTTGGTGTGATATTTATGGGGGAATGGAGTAGGATTGGCATCAGACTTCTGAGTGTGTGGGCATTTATTCCTGCATCAGGGAAAACCTTTAATTTTCTGAAGTGTACATGTTCAGTCCCTTTCCTGTGATTAGGTTTTTATAAAAAATCATACTCCTGATGTAACAGTATTGTTAAGATGTTAAGATTATTATATTGTGATCTATACTATAAGTGTAAACATTAACAACACTCTGAAAATTTTTTGAAACAGTTGGTTTGATGGTAAATGGCCACTGCCTTCTGTGGAATATCAGCATTCACATCTTGAAAATGTATCTCAAAACTTAATGTTGAAAAAGAGTAAATCATTCCTGGTAGCAACTATCTGACAGTAAGAAACTCATTGTCACTTTTCAAACATTTGCACAGACTATTGCTCTAATAGAGTACTGAGCATGCTGTTTGTGTTGAAAAATTGCAGTCAGCTGGTTATAAGGTTGAATTGGGTGAGAAAAATACAGTACTCTGATTGGCTTAGAGTTACCAATGATTGACTGACAGTGATAGGTCAATTATGTGGCCTTTGAGGGTGTCCAGTTTTTCTCTACATTTAACCACTGATTTTACCATAACTTCAACTTCGGACTGTGGATGATGCTCAAGCTCAGCACTACAACTTTCTAATTCTCAGTGCCTACTTACACAGTTAAAGCTAACCTGCTCAAAAGCCATCTTGTTTCTTTAACTGGGAGTATTTTTTAATCTCTGGAAATCTCTTGAGGCCCTCTTTTCACATGGAATGGGTTAAATCTGTTTATTGAAAAGACTCGTAGACAGAGAAGAGGAGATATTTAATGAGGCCAATGATTTGTGTGCTTTCTCTTTTAGATTTCTGAGAAATATTTGAGGGAAACTGATAGTTGTTTCTAGATGTGGATACTCTCTTGCAATTTTTATAGATTTGTCAGATTATGATTATTGCAATAGTTACAGTGGCTTCTGGTATTCCCAGATAATAAAAAATGATCTTTTATCTTTAAATTTAAAAGAAACAGAAGCACAATGCTGATCTGTTTATTTGATATTGCTGGACATAAAAACTATTTACAATAATTATGATCTCTTTAATTAAGTGAAATTTTCTTAAACAGATCAACAATATTAGCGATGATGATTCAAGTAATGGCCGGAAATCACCACTTGTAAGTACTTTTTTTCTGAAATACACTCTAATACAAGTTTGAATGTAACATAAGTGCTGCAGTTGTACGTTGATCAAAATATTGCATCTGCTGCCAAGCAATCAAATTTTTGTATCATTGATGTTATCACATGGAAGACCCATTCATGAAATTGTCTTGAAATTGTCTCAATTGTCTTGAAAATTTCTTTAAAAACTTAGTTGACCAGTTGTGTTTGGATTCCAGGTGGAAGCTGGAGACCAGATCCAGACCCTACAGAAAGCATTACTGGATTATTTAGCTGCCAACAGACACAGTGACCCTGCAGTCCTGGTAAGTGCTGCACAATTCAAATTAACAAAACAGAAAGTTTGTTCCTGAACTGCCAGTGAAACAATCATCATTACTTGATTATGTATTAATTTGATTAATGGTATTGCCTATTGAAATGTGAATAATTGCTTTCAGTATCATTAATGTCAGATCACTGTCTGGGAGCAAAGCTAATGGACATTTTGTGAATGTGCAGTACTGGAAATATATTAGCCCTGAGTATTTAAACGCAAAAGTCATCTTAAACCAAGACCCCATTCCCATAGATTTTAGATCGATCTGTCCAAGTGGGGAGTCTCACTAGATTACTATCAGCGTCTGTCCCACCTACTAAAAGCTGTAAGGGGGTAATTAATTATGGTGCGCACTTGGCTGACTGCAATTTAGCGTGAACCCCCAAGGAGTTAGGTTGATCTAAATCTAAATCTCTGGATCGATCTAAATCTCTGGGAATGCACCTTAAGTAATGAAACCTTAGATTGTTTAATGGCCAATGCTCTTAGAAAAATAGAAATGTTGATTAGCATTAAGATGAAGCAGAAAATAACTTTTGATTGCAGGAAAAATTAATTTATGAGTTTCCTATTTGAGTTTTATGGGCAGATAAACGGGTGAAGGTTTTCAGGATTATGCCTGATTTCAGGCTTTTCAGTCTTCATTTTGATCATTTTATTTTTCATATGGTCCAAATGCCATAGGAAATTGCAAGCTAAGTTTTCAGGATTTTCAGTGTTTACAACTTTCACTGGTGGATTTATACATATTTGAGATTGAAGTAAAAACTGAATGTGTGTAATTGGATTTTTTGACATTGTTTGAAACAAATTAGCTCATGAAATTTGATTTATTAGCAAACACTTTTCTTCATTTTCTTCATACTCCTTCGATCTGTGACTATTAAACAATATTTTTTTTTTGGAATTTTAATGGCAAAATGGAGTCTGGGTTTAAACTTAGCACAATCAGATAATTTCTACCAAAGTTTTTGCACATTTTGACTTATTTTGTTTGCATTACTGTAGTGGAAGCCCCATATTTACCAAATAGTGATACTGTTAAAGCTGCAAATTGTAATATACAGGTCTAATTCTTAAGGATATTGTCACCCTTTGCCCAAAATTCCTTATTTACTGCCTTACATACATTCTATTGGGTAATAAATTAATCTTCAGTGTTCAGCGACTAAATTAATTAACATTTACACATATTTCATTGTACGGATAACGTTTAATTACGATTTTGGGGTAAAAACTGAAAAATCTGTTTAGTACTCCAAAACCCTGCCAGCAATTTTTCTTAAAATTCTTAGTTCAGATTTTATTGTTGATAAAACAAAATGCCAGGAACGTGACTATCTTCTTCACCAACCAAGATATACCAACATGTTGGATATCAATGAAAAGCTTGTTTTAACAGNAGATTTTATTGTTGATAAAACAAAATGCCAGAAACGTGACTATCTTCTTCACCAACCAAGATATACCAACATGTTGGATATCAATGAAAGCTTGTTTTAACAGCTTTTTGTTTCATAGCATTATTTTATAGAAATTCATATTAGCAAAAATTTAAACTACAATGTCATATGACTCAATTTTTTTGTGCTCTGAATTGGATGGTTTATTTGACCAGGATCCACTCTAATCTGTCTGTGGAAGCAGTCTGGTCTGGCACAGTTGTCTTATGTAGATAATGCATAATTTGGTTTACCTTCACCTTCCTTTCAAGGCCAAATAAGACCATAGAACAAAAAATAATAACACAAAGAGTGAGGAATAACATTTATTTGATCAGCATGAATTTTATATGTGCCTGACATTATTTTTGTGTAGCCATTAAGTCACTGCCATAGAAATTTCTTTCTCGTTTATCTTGCATTTATCCCTATGAAACCACACTTAGGGGATATTATAACAGTCAGTGATAGTTTTGGGTACTTAACAGAGTTTATAAATTGTACTTTCTTATTTTCTTCAGTTTTCAAGAAACTTCCTAATAGCACAGTGGATAAGGGATGCCACAACAGAAGCAGAAAAAATTGTACAAGCTGGGCATCAGAAGAAAACAAATGAAGATGATACAGATGATAGCGATGATGAGCCAGAAACAAGTCTTGCTGATGAAGTTCAAAAAACCTCAGAAGCACTCCAAATGGCTGAAAGGAGGAAGCAGTTTTTGTTCTCTCAAATAACCCCTGATTCATCTTCCTTTTCAAGGTGTGTGGCTTTGCTGTTCAAAATTTAACAAACATCTCTTAATAATAATAATAATGGTTTACAGACATAACTGAATATTTTCATACTTCGCTTTAGTACTTGTAAATATGCAGGTATCAATTGTTGTTTTAGGTCAGTATCAAGTAAGTTAGATTATGACAGTGCCTGCCTGGTGGCCAGGTATCTTGCTTCCACACGCCCTTTTTCACAGAGTTTTGATGTCTATCTGACTCAGGTGAGTGATTCAGTGATTGGGATATAAGAGTTCTATAATGCCAAGTATGATTTCTGGTTATATGTTACATCAGCTCATTCTTAAATGTTATATTTTTACAAAGTAATGCATTGGTTTATAGTATATAACATACAAAGTGTACATTAAAACTCTTTAATTTTGATGTATGTTTTTCTTAATTTCAGATTTTAAAAGTCTTATGTGAGACTGCTGTAGCAGTTAGAACCAAAGCAATGAAGTGTTTGACTGCTGTGGTAGAGGCAGATCCTGGGATTCTGGCACGAGTAAGTTGGCATGTTGCAGCAACTAAAATATGATAGACTGGCACATAATCCAAAGGTCAATTAACATGATATGCTTTGTTATACAAAGTGTAACTTTGTCTTTGTATTTCAGCCTGATATGCAAAGAGGAGTGCATGGCAGGTTCTTGGATCAGTCTACATCAGTGAGAGAGGCAGCTGTGGAACTGGTGGGCAAGTTCATCCTCATCCGTCCAGAGCTCACTACACAGTATTATGAAATGTTGTCTGATAGGATTTTGGTAAGTATGCTTCACACTGTGACCGTGTAATTCAATGAATTTATAGTAAATAGTGTTTTTAAAATATTAAATTTTTAAGACTAAAAGAACTTGTTTACAAAATTGATTTGAATTAAGCTGGTAAATGGTAGCAATTACTATGAAATTTAAATCAGTTTTGTAAATTCAGTTTTACTTAAATCTCATGGTTTATTATCTTTAAGGACACTGGGATCAGTGTGAGAAAACGAGTCATCAAAATATTCAGAGATATATGCACAGAACAACCAGACTTCAGCAAAATCCCAGAGATGTGTGTCAAGATGATCAGGAGAATCAATGATGAAGAAGGAATAAAGGTAAATCATACTGAAAATTAATTTCACTCAGAAAAAGTTGCTCATGTTTTATGGTAAAATAGGTGTTATTCTGCTCCAGACATTATGTCATACAATATGCACACACAGTAATAGTTATTAAAATTATTATTTTATTTTTTTGAAGGTTTGATATTTTCATGCTTTTTTATGAAAAGTTGTCTACATAATTTAAAAGATATCTGGATAAGTGAAAATAACACCAATGCTCTATTTGTATACCTAGTGCACTTTGATGAAGGAATATTCAAAAAAGAAAAAGATGTGGCTTAAAAGAAGTGTTTGGTCACATTGATAAATTTTCTTCCAAAATTTTATTAAAGACTTGTATTATATTTCCCCCCAGAAACTTGTGAATGAAGTGTTCCAGAACATGTGGTTCACAGTAGTTAGAGATCGAGACACACACAAGCTACTCACCAAAGTATTGAACATTACAGATGTGGTAAGAGTCTGCTCTGACATAACTTATGCTGTCAAGAATTATTAGTTCAATGGTTTTCCATCTTCTAGTGTTAATCAGATTTTAAGTATCCTGAATGTTCCATGTTTAAGTAAATAAAAGCTAAATGTATCATCTAGCAAAATTTTTTCTGGTATTATAAGACACAAACTCAAACAAACTGTGCTAGTACTGCATTATAAAAGTAGAAGTAGCTGTCAATAAGTAAGAATTGTGTTCTTGCACCTGTTAATCGCCAATTTACCATCTCTTTATCTTTTTCCTCACCGGAAATAGGTTGCTGCATGCAAAGACTCAGGTTATGAATGGTTTGAAACCCTCCTTGGCAATGTAAGTACATTTCCTTGTTGAGACTTATGTTTATGGTCATGTCATAATTAAGTACACTTAGCACTATCTCGCCCCTTAAAGAAATTGCTATTTGAAAGAATGGGTTGATAAAAGTTAACCATGCTATCCCAGTATGCACACCACATTGAAACCAGGAAGCTATGATTACTGGGATCAAGCACTGGTAATAATTTGATATCCATTCACCAAGTAAGAGTAATATGACTTAAAATAAAATGTTTGAAGGTAGGAATTAAAAAAAGTTTATTATTTTGCATTGATGTTTACAATTGCAGCTCCTGAAAAAAGAGGCAGATCATGCCTTTGGTCCAGTGGAAAAGTCGTGTAGACAGATAATTGACTGTCTGGTAGAAAATGTCCTCAAATTGGAAGCAAAGGCTGTGGGTAAGTTGGTCTGTTAAGACATTTAATTAAGCATTAAAATAGCATTAAGTAATATTTCAAATTTTCAGTATCTTTATTACTGTAATAAATGACTGATATTGCTATTTTCAGAACTTACTGAGGGTAAAGTGACCAGCAGTCAAAGGCTAGTAGCTTGTCTATCAACATTATACCTATTCTGCAAGATCAAACCTGACATGGTGGTGCAACATGCAGAAACATTACAGCCATACTTGGATATCAAATGCAGTGTAAGTCAGTCCATTTGTGTTGAATGTTACACAGTCAGGTAACAGCACAATACAGGAAGCAGTCTTTGGGTTAATGTATCTGTTAAAGGTACTGTCACACTATAGCAGGTAGCACTAACAAATTAAAAAAATTGCTCATAAGCAGACAAATGCAAGAAAGTTTATATTTTTGTCATTTCCATCTTGAGTATGCAGACAAACATTTATGTGCGTTTGCATATGGAGAAGGAGATTAATGTTTTGAGCATGTTCAAAAACAATTTCATCCCCTGCTTATATATTAATTCTCCTTTGATGGAAAAAGGGTGATTTCAAAGTTGTGCATATAATTGATTTCACATATGATACTTATACTTACCTCTATACGATAGGTGTGACAGAGCCTTAAGATATTTTATGATAGCATTTTAGTTGTGGGACTATCATCAAATATCCCTTCTAATTGTTAGCCCTAGATAATCTTTCTGTATTACCTGTGCATGCTAACATATTTTGTTTGGTTTGTATTTTCAGACTCAGGGTGACTATATGGTGCTCCACTATATTGCTAGAGTGTTAGAGTTGGTAGTCCCATTAATGGAACATCCCAGTGAAGGCTTCCTAGCACAGCTGGAGGAAGACATGATGAAACTGGTGCTCAAACATGGCATGATGGTAGGAGACTCCATATAAGTTTTTTTATTGTGCCAACCACCACATGTAGTTCTACAAAGAATATAGATCCATGCCAGTGGTCAGTTTTGAGTCTTCATATATATATGTTTATACTTAGGCATTACTTTCTGTAATTAGGTATACTTTCTGTTGATGTCTGCTTGTATTTCACGTATAAAAAATTGTTTCCATTGGTTCAGGTTGTGCAGAGCTGTGTGAGTTGCCTTGGATCAGTAATAAACCTTGTGTCCCATAACTACAAGCTAGTCAGAGATTGCTTTCAGAAGTTCTTTGGTAAGTTTGCACCTTTCTTGTCATATATGTATCATGATATGACAGTATGGACATAATCATGACAGTCAATTACCTCATTTCAGCACAGCCAATAGGTGGAATACAAATAATCTTTAGTTTTTATTCTTGTCTGACAGTAGTTACAGTAAAACAGTGCCTAGTCTCATTCACCAACAAGTTTGCTTCATTACCATCTGAATAGCAGGAGAGTTTGTCAAAATATTTTCTATATTGCAGGTGTTCTGTGTAAGATCATGACAGAACACAAAAACAATCCCAAGAATCCAGCATTGGATAACAGCAAGCCAACTTTACTGAGGGCTCTATTCACAGTTGGATTGCTGTGCCGACACTTTGATTTTGATGCCAAGGAAATGGGAGAGACTAAGGTATATCTTTATGTTGTATAATAGTTTTGGTTTATTTGCTTGTCTTGTTGACAAAATGAATTGAGAGAGCATGGTAATCAATATAACTCATCTGTCATACAGATTTATCATTAAGGGTAACATGATGCATTATTTGTTGTAGGCCTGTGTTAAAGACAGAGTGTTTGATGTCCTAATGTATTTTATAAGCCATGAAGATGAAGATGTAAAACACAAAGCATTGACTGGAGTTGGTGAGTATGCTCAGAAGCATATGAAAGATGCATCTTGCATGTTTTGGTGTTAACTGGTCTTAAAGTCATAATAACTCTTCGTTTTGGCCAAAAATTGGATTTTCCTGGAAAAAACGGCAATTTTCCCGTACTTGCCAATGGTCAATGACCCCATTCCTGCATTCAAAGTTAATCCAGGGTTTTTTTCCTAAACGTACGGTTTTTTGTTAAAATCTCTTAAGAGATTTTAACTGACGGAGCCCTCTCTGAGATTGCATAGTCACTGGTGACCTACTTAAAACCGCGGGAAAAGCAGACAACAACACTATATAAGATTCATGAGATATATTCGTCTTTTTGTTAAAAATGCATTTATATCCACAATGTGTGCCATTCTGGGCTTTTCGTTATCCGACGCACTGTACAAAAACTTGCAACTTACATCTGCGTCTGCATCAACGCGTTTGGCGCCATGTTATTTTGGTCTCGAATGAACGCGAGAATCCGCGTGACACCCTTACGTCATTAGCAACGGATGCCTTGACGACCGGGAAGAAAGGCATCGAAAGCCCTATTGACAAGCACAGATTTTAGTTTTACTACAATAACGGCCGTTTTAGTGGTAAAATACAATAGAATATATTTCCATGCGTTGTTTACAATGTATTTCATGCGGAATTTTGAATCTCAAAGGAAGAGTTATTATTGCTTTAAAATCTTTCAACATTATAGTAAAAGGGAACTAATAACTTTTCTTTTTCAGAACAATAAATTTGTTTGTGTTAGTGAGCTTGTGTATTGTGTAGCATTGCTACATCATAAGTTAAGGAATACTGCTTGTATATGAAATCTCTTTCTCTCCAAATTTTTCTAATGTTCATAAATTACATACCAGTTCTTCCTTTTCCTAGGTTACATGTGCATTCGTTACTATGACTTCATGTTAGGGACTACACTGAAGCAGGTGTACCATGGTCTGCTCACCTACAGAGATGCCCCGGTCAAACTAAAGAACCAGGTGCTAAGGAACCTTCAGCATTACCTCACAGAGGAGGAAGATAAAATGCAAAAGGCTGATGCAGAATGTAAGTAGCTGGTCAGTTTAAAAAATCATTAAAATAATTTCCATGCTTTTAAAATAAAGACTGTTTTTGCAGACAGATGAAAATAAAGTCTTTTGTTTTACATAACCATACTTCCATGTGAAAAGACATGCTGGGAAGGTTGGAGTATACTAATTGATTTTAGTCACATCTGTTTTAATGGGCAGATGCGCAAATAATTCTGGCATCTTTCAATATTTGTCAGTTTTATACTGTTCTTAAGATTGTAAAGAATTGAATTTGTATTTCAGGGAGAAAAGTTGCCAAAAAGGAAGATCTCAAGGAAATGGGATTGGCTGAATCTGGGTTAGCAGAGTTTCTAGTTCAAAATTGTCAATCACAGCAACTTAATGTTTGTTTGAATATCATACATTAATTGATGATCTTCTGTATTTTTGATTTGAGAAAGTAGCAGTGTATGTATAGAAAATTGTTTTTTTATGACTTGTTTGTTTCCTTCAGCATGGCCAGTACAATTATGCAGCTGTACCTAAAACAGTGTTTGGAGTCTTTCTTCCACCCACAGTTCCAAGTTCGCATAACAGCACTGACAGTCATATCCTTGATCTTGAAGCAGGGACTTGTCCATCCTGTACAGGTAAATTACTTACACCAGATAAGAGTAAATAATGTATTTTGGTCTACATATTTGGGTTGTTTAATTTGCAGAAAGTGCTATTTAATTTTAAAAATCTCCTCGGCAAATGTACATTATCAGTTTTATGATCATTTAAGGGCCTGGTAATTTCATCTCTCAAGGGAATGCAGTATACATACTCAAGAGTTATGAAAGATTAACTTAATGTACATTGGTAATTACTGCCTGCTGTAAAACTTGGGTAACGTTATATTTCAGTGTATGCCGTACCTAATCAGCATGAGCACAGATTGTGAGGCTAATATACGTTTGAAAGCAGATCAGCAGATGCAGGAAATTGACAAGAAATATCCAGGATTTGTACATGTAAGTGCTTCTATATGCATGTGAAGATATTTGTTTACTGATTAGTTTATTTATAATCATATTATCCCACATTTCTTTATGATTTTTAATTTATCTCTTATTACAGGTGAAAGCCCTCATGGAAAACTAAATGCGTTTAGATTTAATGTATGAAAGAAAAATAATTGAAATGATGATTGTATTTTAGATGAAGGCACTTGCAGGGATCAAAATGTCTTACAGACTTCAGCAGCTGCTGCAGGCTGACCTTTATGAACCTATCCGTGGAATCCGTGATGAGGACAATCCCACTGCCCTCTGTGCGTTCCTATACACGCTGATCAGGGGGAACAGATCTCATCGCAGGGCTTTACTCACTAATCTACTCAATATGTTTGATGATAGCGCAGTAAGTCTGTATATTACAAATATATGTCACAAATTTCAATACACTGTTTTAACAGGACTGAAAAACTTCATTTAATATTTTTCCATTTTTTGATGATGAACAAAAGCTAGTGTTTTTGAAATATATTTTTTAATTATTCATTTTATGTATTAAATTCATTCAAGTAATAATATATAGAATAATACAATTTTAGTTGAGTTGAAATGGATTTTTAGTGGTCAGATTATTGATATGTTTAAGAATTTTTTTGATTAGATGGGTTTTTTATTTGAAAGCGTCATTTTTTGTTTTTTGTTCTTATGTGTTCAAAATGTTTTAGGGATTGGTCTTAATTAAGGAAAAATGTTAAAATTCAGGGAACAGTTATATGTTGCATGCCAACTGTTATTTTTTTTATTAGTGGTGGAGGATTTTTTCCTTGCTTTGTTGTAAATATATTCATTCTGCATGCATTAACTTAGAAATAGTTACTTGAACAAGGTAGTTCTAAGTGTTGTATTTTATCAGTTCATTTGTGTGTGTTATTATATGTTTGAGACCCTGATGTTGTCTCTCAGCACTGGGCTATTATCATTGTAGCATGGCGCTTCTTATATGACACCTTTCTTTTCAGAGAAATTTAACAGATCCATCTGAAAGGGACACCAGTTTTGAGGTTAATATTTTCAGCAGGACTGAAATGATTGGGACACTAATTTACATTCTTTCAGCTATTTCTTTCACTTTCTCATTCTATCGTACTTTTATCCAGAAAGTTCTCTTTTTCATTTAGCTGAAGTCTGTGGCTTTTTGTTGCTTCTGTCCTAAGTAGATTATGGTATTAGTTAGGTGTAGAAATTTTCATTGGTGCATGCAGTAATATGCTTCAAACGTGAGCATTGAGTCCAGTGCTTTATTAGCCACTGCACAGTAAATAAGCTTTCATGTTGTAATAGAATCACTTATGCCTTTAGTGTTGCTACATTTCTTGAAATCTCCTGGTCATAAATGATTGTAGTATAATTTGTAAGATATTGCACTGCTTGTAATGAAGTACCTTTAATATATTGTTTGGCAATTCCACTGTAGATTAACCCCATTCAGAAGTTCCCATGAGATTGTTTTGAAATGGATCTAAAATGATAAAAGTAATATGTTTAATTTCTTAATTTTTTTAAAGAAAACCTCACTAAATGAGATGGTGTACATAGCTGACAACCTTGCATTCCTTCCATACCAGTACCAGGATGAGCCTTTGTTTATCATGCATCAGACTGATATCATAGTCTCGGTGTCTGGATCAAACCTTGTGCAGGCTTTTATGGAGGTAAAGGGAATTTTATCATATCTTGGATTGTAACAGACTGAAAAGTTTTTAAAATAGCTGGACAATTGGAGCATATGTGACCAAAAAAATGCTGGACCAAAGGAATTGTTTGCTAGACTAACTGTTAATTCAAAATGGCACCTCTTAAAATGGTTGCAAGTTTCTTGGACTAACTGGACACAATTTTCTTTCAATCCTTGATAACTGCTTCAGTCAGTTGGCAGGACTGACAATTTCAGCATGTCTGCTGCTATGCAAATAATAAAGAATGTGCCTTTGACAATTTTAATGTAATCTTGTTTGTTCTCTGATACCAGCATTGTTAATGAATTGTAGGGCCTCACGCAAAAGAAAGAAGGTGAATCTGAAGCTTTGTCAAGGTATGAGGAAGATGATGAGGAGGAGGACGAATTTGAGAGATTGCTAGGTATGTTTTCTTTCTTATTCTTCTTATTTCTTTATTGATATTCAAGATTACATAATTGGATACTGTTTTAGACAATGCTATTTAAAATTTTTTATGAAAAAAGTTTGGCTAATATGCTTATTGTAGAAAGATGCCTTAGCAGTAAAGATTACTTGCAAATAGAGGGTCTTGTTACTGAGATCTGTTTTAATCTTTAATGCTTGCTGTAACTGAAAGAGTTGAAATTTCAGGGAGGTTTCCAGAGGACACATCTGCTCTCCAGGATATCCGTCTGCAATGGCAGGGTTGTATTCTATTAATGCAATTGAAACAACATCTCAAGGAACATTTTGGATTCAAAGAACAGTAAGTATTGATTGATACAAAAACAAGCTTACAGTCTTTACCAATAGAAGCAAAATGCTTTTTTCTTTATTGATGAATTTGATATTTTTCAAAGTAAGTAGCTTCAGTTTCATATTCTGTTTTCTAATTTATAATTCCATTTCTAGGAAAATAAGCCAGTATTCTCCTAGTGATCCTGCTAAAATGAATGAAAGACCTTTGAATCGTAAAGGTCAGAACCGTTTCAATCCCAAGCTGGCTCTAGATCTGCTGAAACGTGACCAACTGTCTCCTCAAGACTTAAATGATGAGGCCAAGAGGCAGCTACTCTCTGATTTCCTGGAGGTTAGCACCAGCTTTAAAAAATTAGAAACATTTTTAGATAATCTTGTAATATTGAACATAATTGTTTTAAGTAGAGAGACTTGCTTTGTAAGCATGAATCATTAAAAGATAAGATGAATGCTTCATATTTATTGAATTAGGAAGATTAGGCAGCTTTTCAGTTCAACTTAAAAGTAACTAAAAAGGTCATTAACAGTGTCTTGTGCCAGTTATCAGTTTAAGAAGCTGTCTAGTCTAGTGTGACTTTAATGTGACTGTAGATTACAGTTAGCAATGTTCCTTATCTGTCCCCAGTTCAAGCAGCTGATGTTGAGTGTAGATCCAGCAGAGGATGACAGTGACCAGAGCACTGGGCATGTCACTCCTCAGCCCAAGTCCCCAGCAGTCAGTAGACCACCAGCAGCTGGGGGAGATGGACAGCCAGGAGAGGATGGGGCAGAAAATGGAGGTGGGGATGCAGGTTCCAGTGGAGCAGTTGATGAAGATGATGATGTTGCAGCAGAAAATGGAGACAAAGCACTAAGGCCAGAAATGCTGGTTAGTTATAGTTCCATGTTCAGTATACGTGTAGAATTATTTAAATTGCATATTGAGAAATTTTTTCATACTTCACTTTGATTCTAATTGCTTTATTATGTAAATTCTAATCCCAAGTTTTCAGCTTTTCAGAAGCTTGTGTAAGTAATGTCTATTAAGTGATGTGATTACCGGTTGCATATTTACTGTCAATTAACAGACACCTGTAAAGGGTTCACATTTCAGAGGTTGAAACTTTACATTTTAAACTGCCAGTGTACAACAAGTGATGATAATTACTTAAAACAATCTTCAATTTTTGGTTTTAATTACAATTACACTGAAGTAAAAATATTTTATGAAAGCATTTGTGTAATCTATAAAATAGAGCTTAAGTACATAAAATGGTAGGGTTGTAGTAGTATTACACATCTGCTGTGAAGGTTGATTTATGCATAGTTCAAATTGATTTGCATCAGGTGAAGCCTTTGAAGATTACCCTCACTCCACTTGGCTTTACCACATCCTTGTCCAAGCACCAGAAATCTTCAGAGAAGAAACATAAGTCGCACAAAAGTAAATTTGAAAAGAAGAAAAAACACAAAAAGAAGAAAAGGAAAAGGAGAATAAGCACAACAGATGAGGAAGATGAAAGTGATTTTGAGGAAGAAGAAGAGGAGGATGAAGAAGATGAGAGTGAAGATCCTGATTTTAATATTTAATCTAAGAAGTGGCCATTTGGACTTTTTTAAAGCTGACTATGTAATGCAGGTTCCAATCACTTCCAAGTTCTGCCTCCAAAAAGTGTTGAGCAGCTTGGTGGAATGCCCTCTCTTTGCTAGCAGTCATGCATTGTGTGATAATTTTTAACTGACTGAGGAAGCTTATTTATTTCGCTGTATTCTTCCAGTTGAACTTTGATCAACAACCCTGCAGCAGTGCAATGTTAGAAGTGTACATAGCTCATGGTTATTTATAACTTTTTTAATTAAATCTACATACAACTCTTGTAAAAACCAGTGTACATAGAAACTATTTAAAGGAGCTGTAATTTGTGCATCATAGAAAATTTGTGAATATAGAAGAATTCCACGTCAGTTATTACAGTCACTTTGGGGACTGGATTTATTTTATGGAATTGTTTTTCATTGTCACACTACTTAGAGTTCTATTTTTAACAAGTTGTTTGTAGATTTAAACCTGTGTATAAGCTAATTTTAAGTTTTTATAATGTTGGTTTTGTACCAGTCCTTCCCGTCAAGTGTTTCATAAAATTAATGTGGAATTTGTGTTCATTTCCTATATTCATGAATAATAAAACGCTTACCTTTAAATAAAGGAAGTTGTACATCAGAATCCAGGGTTTTTTATAATCTCATTGAGTGAATGCTGTTGTGTTTCTAAATCTGGGCAAAAGTAAAAGTGGGTAAATTTTAAGATTTTTACAAACATTTACACTAAAAATGGTTTATGGGAACAACTAAAAATGGAATGAAGATGTTGATTTTACTACCAGCTTAGAGCCTTTGAGGTGTTGTGGACATGTTCCTAAAAACTAAGAATGTATCTAGACATGAAATGGATTATTGAGAAAAAAATGAAGAAATGACTCCATCGACTTAAAAAATATGCTTTTTGGAAAATTTCATAAGTTGCCTGAATTTCAAAGAATTATGAAAAGGTTAATAAAATCAAAGATGTGAAAAAAAGAGGCATGAACTCTGTGATATATCACATTTTATTGGAACAGAAATCTTGTTTACAATATTCAAAATTTGTCACTGAATCTAGCAATACTTTTATAACATTCAAAAATGACAAAACTACATAACCATTGATAAGTAGTAAGGAAACTGATGCACTTCACATTTTCATTCTTCCTTCTTGATAACACATAATGCCCCTTTCATATCGAGCATTACTACTGTATTGTCCCAGTTTAACTGGTCCTAACTACAGGGTTTACTACCTTTCACGACCCCAATAAAAAGTATACCAGTTAACTGGCTGTGTGAAATATCAGGGCTCAGTTTAGGTGACTCTTACATTATAGCCAGGCTAATAAGCTGTCAATCTCATGACCTGGTGAGATACAGAAAAATGTTCCTCTCGATGTGAAAAGGGCAGTACGTAAAATATTATAGTTAATTTTACCTCTGTTATTGTAATAATCTCTGTTATCTAATTAATACATCACTTGATTGATACAGAAATTGCTCATTGAAGTAAGTACATTTTACATCTCTAACCACAATCCAATTTATTTTTTAACAAAGACAATTGTATATAGTGTACAGTCCAGTCATTCTTGTTTAAAAAAAATTACCAGGGCATTTTGAAACATCAACTAAAATTTTTTTATACCTTTCATGCTGTATTGTAAAGCTAAAAAAATTTGAAGAAAGCCATAAGACATCTTTTTCAAAAATAAAACCTTCACTCCCCCCTCCCTTTTAGATTGCTGAGATAATGGTAGAAGGCACACTGTTGAAGTATATTTCATTTTTGTACCTAAATGGTGGGGTGATGGAAGAACTCAAAAAGATTCTTCACAAAAGTGACTGACATCCCATTAAGTCTGTTGAAGTTTGTGTTGGGCTTCAATATAAATTGCAAATTGGCCTAATTAAATATGAAGCTGCCACAAGACAATGAAAGACTGATTATGGTAAACTGTATAAACACTGAAAAGAAAAGCTAAAAGCAATTCCTTTCTAACTATTGCTAGGTAAAACTAACAAGCTAGATGTTACAGCAGAATGTTTGTGTAACAACTTTGTGTATCAAGCAGCAGTTACTACAAAATCAAATGTATGAACTACATGCATAGGTCTTTGTGGTGGGCAATTCAAGTTGAGACTTAACCAAAATCATTTAGGGGCAAAAATATTCAACAAAAAACTAGCTATCAAAATATATTTGGAGATAATAAGAAAGTAATACGGAGTATGAAATAACGATGGGACATCTTTAAAAAATCTGCAACGATGGAAGGAGGAACCAAGTGGTGGTATGCCATTGTAACTGGTTGGAATACCACTTGAATAAACACCTGGAAAAAGGGGTATGTCCGTGAAATTCGGAGTAGAGGTTTAAACGTGTTGGGGTCTATCTATTTATTTATTTGAAATAAAAATTGTATACATTTGTAGTCAAGACACTTTATGCTGTAAGCATAAGTCATGATAATGATCTCACCACAATATGCACAAGCTATACAGTGAAAGCTAACATTTAGATCTCCAGCTGATGTTACATTCCAGAAATTAGAATTAAGACTGCTATAAAGTTTTGGCAGGATGTTGTATGAAGGCCCTTTTGGTTTGCACATTTGGCAGGGTTTTCTTAAACATGAAAATGACCAATGAGAATTTAAGATAGAAGGATGAAACTGCCAATTCTGATTAAAAATACTGAGAAGATATTAATGAAGTTAAAGAAAAAAATCAGGTCATTTTTTAAAGTCCAGGGATAAGCCAGATGGTGCCAGACAAGAAAGCTACCATAGAAGTTGGAAAAGAGTGAGTTGAGTGGCAAAATATGAAGTCCACACTGGAAGATGTGTTTAAAGCATACAGAGCCAAATACCCTACAGACAAGGTGGGATTCACCTTTTGCAAACTGAAGTACCTAGCCCTGGAAAGACTGTGTGTACAGTAACAAAGAAGCACCTTGTGAAAAGAGATTGCCCAAATGTGAAGACACTAGCCGGAACATGGAAATTGCACAGCATTTGAGGCGCAGGAAAAGAGCTACTATGTATCAATGGAAACCAGAAGCTAGAGCTGTTATTGCCAAAACTGCAGAAGAGATTATGAGCCAGCGGAGGAATGTCAAAATTCAGAATATGTTGAAACATGGGCACCAGTTCAACTCAAATTGTCTCGCAGATAGGATGGCATGATAGAAAGTGGAAAAAAGCAGTTGTTTTGGAAAAACATTTAACTCCTAGACCTTACATAGTAGTAAATGAAATTGGACAGAAGTATAGGCATAACTGGCATGATTTACGCACTGACAATGACAACAGTCCAACAGTGCCAATAGACCCAAAATTACTTAATGGAGACAATACAGAGAATACCCAAATTGAAAACAACGTACCAGTTATATGTGGAAATACCCAGCAAAACAAAAGAATTTCCTTGGATAGCAATTCAAACAAGTAGTGGGAGAGTAATAAAGTCTCCTATAAGACTCATAGAAACAAAATAAAAGGACAGAATAATCCCTTACTCAGAATTGTTATTCAGAAACTAATTGGGCAGTCTCACCCAGTTAGTATACTTTATGTTGTGTTTTCAAAGTTAAAAAAAAGTAGAGACTGATTAATTTTGCTGTTAAATGAACTGTACTTTACTTATTTGCATACATTGCAAGTATGCTGAAGTAATTTGAAAACGATTGTGTACTAAGGAAAATGGCTATCCTCATACACTAGCTACAAAAGTTAGACATGCAAACAGAGAGATTCTGTAAAGCCTAAGGAATTGGTTCAGCTCGGCAGCAACAGCTACTTCAATATACACAGGTTTACTGCTCAGACACGACTGAGTGATAGAATAATTCCAGGCGTTTTAACTTTAAAAAAAAAAAAGGATTTTCCCATGGGTGATCAGGCACAGACAGAAAATCATCATATGCCTATGTAGGGATTTTGCCTGAACCAGCTGACAATAAGGACATTATCATAGTTTGTCTTAATATCATACATAGTATGCTGAAGGTTGGCACTGAACTAAAGCGTGTTATAGTTGCAGGTGATGGGAAAACCCACGTGCCTGGTTCAGATTAAGAAAGAGTATGGGTCTGATATGGATTGGATGCTGGCTTACTTAAGTTGTACTCTGTTACACGTTGTTGCCACTGACGATGTGCAGCGACGTGCGCGGCTGATGACATTGCTCACCCATGGACTGGTGAGGGTGTGACGCTCTCGGCATTGTTTGGATGTTGGAGTTTTTTGTGTTGGTTTGATGTCTGTGAGCAGGGATTATTTGTTACCTACAATTATTCTGTTTTAAAGTAAGTGTAATTTGCTGCTTTATTCCCAAACGTTCTTTTAAACAATATCTGACGTTCTTGTAGCTTCTTATTACTTATTATGATTCTTTGTTGCTTCTTACAGGTATCTCTAGAAGCCTTATTTTTATCTCCTAAGAATAAATATATTCGTAAAACCCAAGTATTGTTTATTGCCTGCTTACAAAGTGAACTATATCTCTTAACGAATACTCAGACACCCCTTATGAAAGTGTATTTAGATGCAGGTTTTAGAGAATTGCCAGAGAACATCACCATGGAACAACATACACTGTGGTAGGGGAATATAAGGGCTTACTTTCTGCTACAGTATTACGAAGCACTATAGAAAGTTGTTGAAAGTTTCTTTTAGGCCATCAGGACAGGGTTATATCAAGCGATAGCTGCCTGTTATATTCTAAAGACATAAAGATTCTAATTGAGGCTGTCAGGTTCTTTTAGAAAATGTTGAAAGTGGCCAGATGTCTAGTGATGGCATGTTGCAGCTTAGTTCTAGGTTACAAGAACTTGAAAATGACTTTCACCAGTGGTGTGCTGAAATGTCATTAAAGGGCAAAGCATTTAGTTTTGGTATTCTTTTCAAACAGAACAGATGGTGCCTTATGTACTTGACTGTCAGAAAAAGAGATTGGGTGAGAATGCTTGTATGTGTCAATTGGTACCACTGTACCATGCTTTGGATAGTGCTTTGTATTTGAAGTTGATGCCTCATCATTTTTCAGATTTGAAGGAGTTTCCTGAAAATGTATTAGGATATTTTTTAAAAGGAGGGTTTGCTGTTAATCTGGTGATAACCATCACAGTATTGGTTTTGATGAAGCTCATGAGATGGTCATAAACAAAAATGTGAAACAGGCAATGGTGTCTATACAAAGAGTAAAGACTAAGCCCATCTTTATTTTTATCTTCCCTACAGGACTACAGTTCTGGAAAATCTTGACACACAAAGTTCTGTACTAGGTCAGATTAGTCCAGCAAGTAAAAATATTCCTAATTATAAGTCCGATGAGGAAGAAGAAAAAATGGTGCGTTCATACTTTCAGAAACTCCATGAATCAAGTGTATTTAGTTAATGTCCAGAGACTGATAGCCTCCGTCATATTTTTGCTGATGTAATTGCATCAGTTGAAGCTACAACGGATCTGTTATCATTTTGTACCATGGGGAAACCAATTTTTAGACTTATACTCTGAGTATTAGTTCAAGAGCTGTCTTTTCATCAAGGCAAAGGAATTTGAGGGCATTTGCTGTTAATAAAGTGACTGTTTCAAAGCAAAAACAGGAGATTAGGGACCAGAATTTAGTAATTGCAA